TTGTATGCGTCTTTTTAATATTGGCCCCTCTCATTCTTTTTAATAGTATGTATATGTTTGATAAAATCTAAAATAAAATGTATATGCTTGATTTTTCAAACTCTAATAAATACCAAGGAAACTTAAATGTTTAATACTACTTCCGATCTTAATTATAAGAGCTAGTTAACTAATTTGAGGAAATTAGAAAAAGAAGTTAAATTAGTTATTTTTAATAAATATGTGTTGTTTTTTCAAAAATATCCTTGTTAATTAAATGTATTGGCTAAAACTACCATTGTTAGAAGGACTATTTTAATTTGGAAAAAATGCAAAAATATGAGAGACAAAGTGGATTAGAATCTTATATTTAGAACCAAAAAAAATCAAACAAGGTTCATATTAAGAACTGAAGATAGTACTTTCTATTTTTTCACCCAAACTTGCGTGTGTTCATTTAGCTGGTCTAAAGAATAATCATGTTGAAGTGTGTATGTGTGTTACATGTAATAATTTTCATTAAATTAATCTCGTCAAGTTTTTTCGGTGATCAGAGCTAATTAATCACACAACAATTTGTACTATATCCATCGATCATTTGGATATAAACATGAATCCCCTAAAATGTCAGGATTCTAAAGTTTCTGAAGTGAATATGTATATAAATATTAGCACACGGCAGCAAGCTTTATTTATAACACACGAGTCCCATAAAACTATAACCAATTATCATCTATTTATCTGTCTCCTCATCTTAGAGAGCATCCAACATGGGACCGATGTGATTTTTCCGAGTTCACATGATTTGAACATGAGATTTTTATTTGAAAGATGTCTAGTCTTTTTCATTAATTAGTCTCGCCAGTGATGATATCATCATTTCCTTCTTCTTTTTTTAATCTCAAATTTGAATAAAAGGTGAAATGAAATTCAAAATAGGCGCTACACATGACCCGAAATTGCATGGCAAAAATATTTCTTTTTATTCGTTCGCCGCGTGTTTTAACTTTTAATTAATAAATTAAAGTTCCTATGTTCACCAAAAGGGGGGGGGGGAATGCTTGGTTCCCGTCCCGTGTGACCATGGCTACCGAACGCATCTAGATTGAAATGATGCTTGATTAATTACTACTACTTCCGATCTAATTATAAAAATTAATTAACTAATTTAAGAAATTAAGAAATAAGTTAAGTTAGTTATTTATGATAAATAAGTATTATCTTTCCTAGAATATCTTTGCTAATCAAATTTATTTGTCAGGACTACTATTATTAGAGGGACTACTTTGAGAAAAAATGCATAAATATAAGAGACAAATGAATTGAGATCTTATGATTATGATCAAAATAAAAGTCAAACGAGGTTTATATTAAGGACCGGAGGTAGTATATCCCATGTTGTTCTATTTGTTTATTTGTTTGTTTATTTATTTAATGAAAAATTGGATGATTATTCAATTTTTTTAATTTTTAAATGCAAGATGTATTAGTCGTTCTGATGTGTGATCTCCTTCACGTTTTCAGTTAGATGAAAAGAAACTTCAGGAAAACGATAAAGTGAAGGTACAATTTAAGATGCAACATGTACATCTGAGAGATTTTTAGCAATTTTAATTCGTAAAACTGTTTCAGCTAACACCAAGCATATTTCAACTTTTTTAATTTGCGGAGATTTTAATTTTACGATTCATTTTTTCTTTTAAAGAAGAGAGAGAAATCAATATGCATATGTTATTGCTTCCATAGAGTCTAATAAATAGGTAGTAATTGTTGGCAATAAATAAATAAATAAGTAGTAGTTTTTTATAAATAATAAATAGAATGATTTATCAGGTTGTTTATAGTTTTTTGGGAAAAAAGTATTTAAATTTTTCATACTGATTGATAAGAAGCATTTGTTTTTGTATTATATATGAATTTTGATAAATGCACGCTATTTATAATTTATTGATAATGTTTTCTATAAATTTCACTATTAATATATCAAAATATTAAAATGAGTTTCCCAGTGAGAACATGATAATAAAAGAATTAAGTACACGTTAAGGACTTTGCATGATGTTGAAATGATGATAATGATGGCCCATGTATCCACATGGTACATGATCCCCACTATATCATCATAAATAGACAACATTTTCGTCACCATTAATTTTCTCCTTTATGTCCGTCTTTTTAGCATTTTCCTTGACATAAATCAATTATATTTACAGACAGCAAATCAAAAAGTGGACACATTTCCTCAATCAAGGGATGTAATGTTGGATAGCTTGAAAAATACTCTTCTTGTATTATTTATAATTAAGGCACTATTAAGAAAAATCCTAAATTGTATTAACAGTTTATTAAAATATAATAACTTTTCAATTTTATCCTTATTGAATATACACATTTAAAAAAAATAATTATCTACACTACAATAAATAAATGATAAAATAGTACATTTATGCTAAAACTTTAATAAAATGACTTATAGACACACAAAAAACTTCTCTCTTTATCTTATAAATAGGACCTGCTAGAGGAGTAGGTTGTATTATTGATAAGTTATAAACAATACTAGTAGTATTGTTTATTATAATTTTTATTATATATATTGACGATAACATATAGATTCCTTTCTAAATAAAAGATTCTTCGAGAACAAGAAAAGAAAATCTCAGGACAAGTTTGGCATCAAAGGATAAGTGATGCTAAAGTGTAAGCGAATCCTCCCAAACTAAAGGAGAATTAAATTACGCAATCACCTTTTAATTGTAAAAACATATTGTAGAATTACAACGTGATTAAAAAGTCCTCGAAAATAGTAGCCATTTTTAAATAAAAGCGTTGCTTATTGAATCGTGTTTTCAAACTTTTGTTGCAGGGGTGTATTTATGTGTTGTATTAAAAATTATAGATTCGTCCTGTTTTAAATTTAACGAATCAATATATTTATATATATGTCAAATATGCAGTTAACATTATGTTTCAGGTACAAAAATATCAAAGCAACACGACTTTTAATGATTTCAAAACACACACACACATATGAGTATAATGTTTTTTAAAACAAGAGAACATGTTATACAATTTAAACATGATCTGAGCAGGAAAAACAGATTACCTTTTTATGTAGTAATGTTCAAGTTGTAAGTGTTGCCGGGAAACCAAGTTCTAAACCTGGTAATTGCAAATTTAACAATATTTAACGATTTTGACGAGATAAAAATAATAGTTAAAAGCAGCTAAAATGACAAGAAGTTTAATAAGTTTTCAAAACAACCATTTGATTGGTATAGCTAATTGGAAAAGCGAGATGGGGAGGATGGAAAAGTCAAGAGCGAGAAAGACAAGGGTATTTTTGAAAGTACTGCATGAATGTTTCGTTAAAATTTGTAAAGAGTTATCACCCCAAATTAAAAAAAAAAAGTTGTAAAGATTCTTATGTTAAAAATATATTTTATAATTACGATTTGGAGGGAGTATTTCATTAATCATAGCTGTGCTTACAGTTGGGTGCTTCTTTGCAAGCCCCATCTTTGCCTGCTTAATGGTAGGCTTTTTTTATTTTCTGAACACGGTTTTTTAACACGTAAACATTAGTATTTTTAAGTTCGTTATTAGTGCATTAATCATGGTTTGATGTACGCTTGGAAAGTACATTGAGGGGACCTAAAGAATTTAAGCACACGTAATTATTGTTCGGCCAAGTATAATATATGCTTCGCGGAACTAGTTTCGGTGCTTATCACTTTAATGAGCATCCTAAACTTATCAGATCTATATTATCCATATTTAATTTTTTTGTTCAAAATAATTATTTTAATATGTGTAGAATACAAAATAGAGATAATCTCTTAATTATCATTCATTCAAATCAGATATACACAGTCAAGATCTGATGAGTTCAAGATGCCCATCAAGATGGTGAGTATTAAAACTAGTTCCATGTTTAGCTGACGACTTCTATTTTAAAGATACACACAACTGAAGAAAAGTTATACCAATTGAAGATGAGTTGCATTTAGTTTCCCCGACTAATAAAATTTTCAAATAAATACTACCAACCAAATTTCTTATTAAAAAAAAAGCAAATAAGTACTCCTCCGGTCCTAATTATAAGACCCAATTGACTTATTTGAGGAGATTAAGGAAGTAAGTTAAGTTGGTTATTTATAATAAATAAGTGTTGTTATTCCTAAAATATCCTTGCTAATTAAGTATATTAGCTAAAACTATCATTATTAGAAGGATTATCTTGGAAAAAAATGCATAAATATAAAAGAGAAAATGGATTGGGTCTTATAATTAGGACCAAATAAAAAGTCAAATTGGGTCTTATAATAAGGACCGGAGGAGTATATTTATAAGAAGTGAACTTCATATACAATTACACTCTCTTGTATTATTATCTCCAAATGCATGAAGAGAGAGGATATCCAATTTACTAGTATTAAGTTTTACTGTCCTGTGTGGGTCTAGTTAAAGAGTTAACGTAACGACGTAATTTTCGTCTGTCATATTCTTTCCCCCATTTTTAGGACTCCAAAAATCTAAAAAATCTGGATATATACATATATTTTTACCGTTGGTTTAACTTTTCCCCCTTTCGTTACTGTGCTCGAACACACTGAAACTTGAGAGATATTTTTGAAATATTTGATCTCATTTCTCCTTTCGACAAAAGTATATATCTGCAGACACATAGTGCATGTGCCCTACATAACTCAGGAGAAAACGTAGAGACACATTACTATTCGACCACCTCACCCTCACAGTGTGTGTGTATATAAAATACATGAATGCAATGTGATTATGATTATACACATAGTTAGGTACTTAAGAAACAACGTGTGCCACTAGTTAGAATATTAATAAATCATATCATATATTAATCCTGCTCGCTCTATTTAAACCCTCCCTCCCCCCCATTATGATCTCAATGTCACTCTCCACCTTTCTCCTCCTCCTTCTTGTTCCTCTCTCTCCTTCTCTCTCTTTCTACACGCAAACTCATCAAGCACACGCACCAGATCATAATGGACAAGAAACCGTACAATTCATCTCAGGACCCTGAAGTGAGAAAAGGGCCTTGGACCATGGAAGAAGATTTGATCTTGATCAACTATATCGCAAATCATGGTGAAGGTGTCTGGAACTCCTTAGCTAAGGCCGCTGGTATGTACACGCCCGCACGCAACACAAACACACACACATATAGTATCTCTCTGTTTTCTTTTTTTGACGTGTTTTATTACTCTCGCTCCTTTCCTTTTTCTCCTTAAACCCTAATGGTTATATATATCTTCATGTTTTTTTCTCAGGTCTTAAGCGTACCGGCAAGAGTTGTCGGCTCCGGTGGCTAAACTACCTTCGTCCTGATGTTAGAAGAGGGAATATTACACCAGAGGAACAGCTTTTGATCATGGAGCTTCATGCAAAGTGGGGAAACAGGTGATGAATTTAACATATATTCATATATATAATGTTTTGGAAATATACTTGGTGCATATTAACTTGATGCAGAAGCTAATGGTATCCTTAGAACTGAAGAAAGTTAAATATAAAGGATATTACTCTCTCTCTCTCTCTCTCTCTCTCAATTTGGGTGGGATTTGGTTTTGAACAAGGCAGGCCAGCACTGGCTGGCGGCATGAGGCGGTTTTGAGGTCTGTTCAAAAGGGAAAAGAGAGAGAGTGTTTAATTTGACGATGGAATTGCGGCCAAGAAAATATTGACCAACACATGGGAGGTTGTGGGGTGGTGGGGTTTCTGGTTTTGAAGAACTTATAATATTGGCCACAAATACGTACGGTCACTGTTATGGGAAATTTGATTCTGAGTATTTAGAGCCATACATAATGATCCATCGTGATTGATTTCATTCACACATATACATGCATATGCTAGAACACAGTAGGGTTTTCAATTTTTCCTTAGGAAAAAAATGAAAAAGAACAGGAGGGTTTTCCTTTAAAAGCCCCATGTTATTACTTTCCTTTTGTATTCAGTACTCTCTCTCTCTCTCTCTATATCTCTATCTATCTCTATCTCGCTCGATCTCCCTCTCCAAGCTATGATACGATGAGGGTGGAGCATATAAACAATACTGTGGACCTTCAAGCGAAAGAGGCCCTCAAATTACCTGAGAGTTGGATCCATAGGGCAACGCAGCACGGTGAATTAAACGGGCCTTGTTAATGTTAGGTATCTTTCCTTCTCTTCTGTTTTTTGAATTTTCCGCGAGCCCTTTTTAATATCTGATGAACATACAGTTCAAATGCAAGCTGTCTCTCTTCTTTTCTTATCTGTATGGTCAAGTTGATCAAACAGCATGGGATAAGATAAAGATCCGCTGCTATCAGCTGTTGTAAAATTTGATTTTTGAAAATCCAGATACTTTCTTCAATGGGCCGTACTGCATATAGATATAGAAAGAGAGAGATAGATGGGATAGAGAGAGAGAGAGAGAGGGTTCGGGCAAACAAAAGACCCTTAAATCAGTATTGTTTTCATGGCTTCATCTAACTCATGAAGAATCATCGATATGGTAAACAATAAAGTAGAATGTTTACAGAAGGAGGATAGGCTGCATATATAGCAGAAGAGGGTGGAAGATACTGAAAGGATATAGACTACGGATATAGAAAAGAAGAAGTTACTTAGATCTTTCAATTAAAACTCTAAGCTCAGTAGTACTCCTCCGGTCCTAAGTATAAGACCCATTTTGTAGCGTAAATTACACTATAAAATGGGTCTTAAATTTACGGATGGAGGGAGGGAGTAGTTTTTTTCTTAATGATTATTAAAGCTAGTATAAGAAAAACTGGTTTAAATACATCAGTTGGATATTTTGACGAACTGCAATACTCTATATAGGAGTTGTGAATAAGAATCAAAATAAATTGGACAGGAGAAATTTCCATTTTAGGCTGAACTAACAGGAGTGGGTCACATGACAATAGCTTTCTCATTCAGATGAAAAAAAAAATTAAAGCAATAATTAAATTGACACAAACCATGCTGGCCCTTGTTGACAAGGGCCTTGGTCTCCTTATAAATAGAGAACCTTCACTTAAGGCCAGAGTACTTACACATATAGCAGATATATCCTGTGAACACACTTCTGATATCTCATTCTGATCATCAAAAACTCTCTATCAAACAAAGACTCTAAAAGAACTCCAAACTATGAGAAAGTTCGAAAACGAATGCGAGGCTTAAGAAAACTTATTTCACAGATCAAATGCATCTGTCATTAGATACCAATTTTATAAACTAGTTTTATCTGACGCTAGGGTTAGAAAATCTCATTTCAAAAACTCAAAAAGATTTTTTTGGCTACTGAAATAACAAAAAAGCAGGGAAGTGAGAGGTATGAACAGAGAGAAAATGGGATCAGAGAGTGGGAAGGAAAGCAGTAGTGTTTGCATTGGAGCATACTTTTCTGTGTTGAGAAATCCGATGTAACTTTGATGATCAATCGGAGAGCCCCAGCTACAAAGGCAAAGGCAAAGGCAAATCATATTTCTATGTACCAAAGGGGCCTCCAAGCATCTCACAGCTCAACTTGTCTTCTTATATATGTGACTCTGGACACGCTTCTCTTTTAATCTCAGCCAGGGAACATGCTCTCCACCAGACACTATTTATTAGTCTTTCTGTTTTCACCTACATATCCATTTATTTCGTCTTCCACTTTCATCCTCCTTTCCAAGGAACTTAAATATTTTTGATCTACACGCACACTGATTTTTTTTCTGCATATCATCCAAAAGGTTCTCAACAAATTCACGGTTTGCGCTTTAATTATATTGTCTCTTATATGCATGCTGATAAATTAAATCTTTGCTGTGATTATAATATTCAAAATCCATACATACAACTTAACTTCCCGCTATATGTTCTTTCTTGGTTCAGTTTCAGCAACAGGTACATGTGAGATCTGCAGCCTAGAATATTCTACTGACGATTGTATTATCCCGAAGAAAAGAAAACCGAATTATATCCAAGAAAAATGAAAATTAAATACATATATATACATATATATATATCTGTCACTTTCCTTTGATATAAATAAGTATGGCTCGCCAAATTAATAATGACGATAAGAAAAATAATGCAGGTGGTCAAAGATCGCGAAGCATTTACCGGGAAGAACTGATAACGAGATCAAGAACTATTGGAGGACCAGGATTCAGAAGCACATTAAGCAGGCGGAGAACAGCTGCTCGCAACAGCATCATCAAGCCCAGATGAGCTCGGAGACAGCAGATCATCAGCAAGCCAGCAGCAGCCACGTGTCCAACACCATGTCTGATTCTCAGCCGATGGACACTTACTCTCCATCCTCCTTTAATCAAGCGACTCTCACTGATCAGCCCTTCCCAACCCATCCTTTCCCAACCGTACTCGATCAGTCCTCCATCTGCACCAGTCACGAGACTAACTACTGGAGCATGGAGGATCTCTGGTCTAATATGCAAATACTTAATGGGGATTAATTAAACTAATTATTATCACTATACGTTAATAAATATATAATATATATTTAAAAAAAAAATCCTCTATCTCTCAGCATGTTTTATTAGGGTTATATGTATATGTAGTCGGCTATCGTTTGGTGTATTTTGCCTGCTATATATATATTTATATATTTTAAGAACTGTATCAGCATGGGTTGTATAATAGGAACTTGTTTTATTATCTGCATGTGATCCTCATTTTCATATAAAAGATTCAGTTATGAGAAAGCAATTTACGTAGTGGCCCAGCAGAAAGTGGGGTTTTAGAGTTTAGACGACGACGTCGGCGGCCAAGGGGAAAGAAAAATATGTGCCTACAGAGCGCTCATGGGGAGATACTTTTAGGGAGGATCACAGGAAAAAAAATTATAAAACAAATCTCAAAAATTGATATTATTCATTCTAAAACTTATTATTACAAACTGTTCAAGTTGTTATTTGAACCTTTTAATAATTATTTCTCTTCTGTAGGACTTAATTTTAATTCTCCCATACTTTTATGAATCGGGCCAACGCTTTGTGAGGTTAAAAATAGTTTGAGGATAAATAATCAATGGTGTGAGAGGGGAGTTAGTCCCTCAAAATATAGCGAATCAATATTCAAATTTCTATTAGGAAAAGAATCCACATTTAGTACTCAATAATGCCTCGAATTGGATTAACTCCGATAGAAAAATAAAATGAAAATAATGAGAGATAAAAAGCATATAAAGAAAGAGAGAAATTAAAAAAAAGTAGGAGATACGTTTGAACTAGTCCTCCTCTTTTCACATAAATGGAATGACAACCCAGCAGTGCATGAGCGTGCATGATCAACTTGCATTTACATCCCTTTGCCCATACACACACTGCCTAACTAAAACCACAACAAAATCGACACGTAGCCCTACCACACATTATCAGCCATGCACATATATCCATCATCATACCTCATAAACTCATGTCTCCCTCAAGCTGCCCGGACCCCAGCAGCCTTCGATGAATCCCTCTTCACATGTCCGTCGTTACCATATACAAGCAGATTTTTTCTCTTCCGTACGTTAACCAGCAGAAAGTTCAAAGCCCATGCACAGAGCCTTATACACATATACAGTATATATATATATGTATGTATATTTTAATTAGCGGTTTTAATGTGGATGGGGGATGAAACGAACTGAGATGGAAGGATGGTGGTTTATTTGTTGGCATTTAGTGAGGGAGAGTTAGGTGAAGGGTGACGACATGTAATTATATAACAGAGGAGGAGGGGCATGGAAGGGGGTGTACCGAACTTCAACTTTAGACTGAAGAACTTGTACAGACAAAGAAAGGGGAGGGTGACGGGAGAGGCTTGTCTTGGGGTTCTGTTATGGCTTATTATAGGAAACTAGGACGCTCTGCTTTTGTGGCCTTTCGTTGTTTCTCATCTCACGATGTACGACTAAGGGATCTTCCTCGCGGGCCCCACCCCTGCCTTCCCGACGCTTCTGGGCCGCTCCTTGTATTTGGTCACATGTTTTGTGTGACACAGAATATCGAATTCGCATCCCCACGCAAAAATAAGCCATTACTTGCATGTGATGGATAAGGATAGACCACGTGGGAGGTCGGCCACTAAATGGAAAAAACGTGTGCATTTTGAATATATATATATATGTACATGCTTCGTGGCCCCCCTTCTTATTTACTGCTCCTTCAATAATTAATGTGTATCTTCACCTACAAGTTGTTCATTTATTACTTCCCTCAGTCTTTTTTTTTTTTTGTGTCTCTGAAATTAATTCAATTAGTTTTTGTTAGTTCTTGGCCTGTGCACGTAATGTGGTGATTATTACAATGCCTCGCGCGGGGACTTTCTAGACCTCTTGTTTATCCTTGGCGAAGATGGGAGACAGCTTTATATCTATTCAGAAGTGTGATTTCCAAAAGCAACAATAGAACAAAGAAGTAAAAAAAAAAACAATAAAGAAAAATGATTCGTTTGTTAGACTGATAGCAGTCTGCACATACGAGGTGGAGAATGATGTTAAGCATTTTTTTTTCCTTTTAAATAATCAGTGTTTACTTTATCATGATTTATGACTGGTTGGATAAAATTCCTCTTTTCTCTGTTTTTTATAAATAATCGATGAAAATTATCGGTTTCTGAGCTTGAGAAAACGAAGACTTGACATTCTCAGGCCAGATTGGAGAACTTGAAAAAGCACTTCTACACTTTATAAGATAAAATTCTTTTTATATACTAGCTCCAATCCTAATTATAAGACCCAGTTGACTAATTTGAGGAGATTAAGGAAGTAAGTTAAGTTAGTATTTGTAACAAATAAGTGTTGTCATTCCTAAAAATCCTTGTTAATTAGTGTGTTGGTTAGAACTATCATTATTAGAATGATATCTTGGAAAAAAATGCATAAATATGATAGACAAAATATATTGGAGTCTTATAATTAGGACCAAACAAAAAGTCAAACGGGGTTTATTTAAGTACCGGAGTATTATTTATTTAGTAACATGAAAAATCAGTTCTCCACTTCAAGCCAGTCTTGCCCTCAATATCACCCCCATATATTATGAAACGTAACGATATCTTGTGGGTATTAGATTCCACGTTTTTTTGGGTTTTGGAAGCCACTGGTAATGAGCACCCGAGTAGTGGAATTTTGGCTGGTTGGGCTGCTTATCGAATTCGGAAAACCAAGAATCATGATGTCCCGTGGCATTTGGGAAGTTGGTAATGGGAAATTCACGTCACTTTTAGAAACTACACCGTTCCTTTGCTTTAAACAGTTAAAAAACTTGCGCAGCCACTCCCATATCAACTTCTTGCTTAGTTACCGTTACGCTTATTAAGAGAGTATGAGCAGCATGATTCATGTAGATTTGGTTTCATTTTCAAAAATCACTCTTCTCCGTTTTATAATACGAAACTTATATTAAATATTTATTTCGTACAGCGTCTAAAATCATTTCGTACAGTGTTTACTATTAAAATATAGAATGAAAATTTGAATGGTAAACGGACCCAAGAGAATAAATGATAATACCAATAAAAAGATAAATTAACATTATGCAGAGACATACAACCAAATATGCTATTCATTTAGTAGTATATGTGAATGCCAGTGAACTATAAATAAAAGTTGCACTGCTCACGGTTTAAAAGAGGCTTAAAATAATAAATAAAATAAGTCAAATACTACACGGCTGAGACTAATAAATAAGGAGCATAATTTATAAAATTTTTATCACGTATACTAACTACACACTCATCGGATATATTACAGTGTTTGAAAAGAAGTTGCTTCGTTTTTATAATTTAGATGGAAAAGCTTGCTCTAGATTTAAATGTGTATATACGTTGATGCATTAGTGATTTTATAATTGACATATATACTCATAATGATGATTTTAGGCAGAGAAAATTTAAATAAAAAAGATTAAAAGGTGGATAAAAAAGAAAACGATTGTTACAGTAAATAAAGATATGGAGCGTCATATAGGCCAAGTCGCTGATCGATCACCAATAACTTGCTAATAGAAACTACGTGCAGCATCCAGCCCTCCACTACTTGTGTATCATGCAGTTTAATTTACAACAGATTTTAAGATGTGACAATAATATTGCCATTAAAATATGCTCTTTTGGTTGTCATGAGGGGAAAAAAAAAAGTGATATCCATTCTTCGTTGTTAATATCCAACAGTTATGCGATTAATTAATAACAGGCCCAAAAAGATAAAGTTACAGCATCAACAAATCAGCAGTTATGCTACTTTTCTTAAGTAATTAAACAGGTATATTAGATTTTTCTGAAGTAATTAAATAGGTATATGAGATTTTTCAGAATAAACAATCAAATAAATGTGCATGATGAGCTGTACCCGCGCAACCACGCATTAAAATGTCAATTTAGAGATCAATTACAAAGTAAACTCAAGCAAAGCAAAAGAAAGCCGAAATAAGACACAAGAGATAATAGAGTGAATAGGAGAAATAGAAGGAGCAGGAGTTCAATCAAATATGAGTACTATTATTATAAGCAGCATATATTATTTTGAATTTCATGCACTTTGTATTTTTTTTAAAATCCTTCTCCATTTTTGTAGTTAATACTACCTCCGGTTCTTAATATAAGACCCTATTTGACTTTTATTTTAATCCTAAATATAAGACCCTAATCTATTTTGTCTTTCATATTTACTCAAATTTTTTTAATATAATCCTTCTAATAATTATAGTTCTAATTAATACATTTGATTAGTAAGGATATTTTAAGAAAGATAATACCTATTTAGGACAAATAACTAACTCAACTTACTTTCTTAATTTCTTTAAATTAGTCAACTGGCTCTTATAATTAGGACTGGAGGCAGTATTTAACTATCCACGCTTTTTTACAAGGATCAAAATTTAAAGCCAGTTTGCTCATAAGTTCTAAATAATGCCGGATTTTGTATTTTATATAGATTGATAATTTTTTTGTTTTGTTGGTTCCGGATACATAACCTTCGGTTCAGAAGAGATTAAACGAAAACGTTAAGTTTGGGCTTCGTGGGCCCCGATTTTTCTAGGCCTATGTAGTTAATCCACAAGTACTTGTGGATGTAGACGGGATTTATTCTTTTCATCTTTACCGACACTATTGATCCGCTAGATTGGCCCAAAGGTAAAAAGTGGGCCTTAAATTTATAGAGATTAGTAAATGAGATATCACTATTAATTATAATTGAAGATTGACACGTGTTGTGCAGACAGATTTAAAGGATGTCCTTTACTGGTCGTTTCAGTTTCTGAGGGAAGCCTTTGCGTTCGTAGTTTTGCCGCACTAACTCGAGCATGAATGGAAAATAGCGTTCCCGCCAACGAGCTTGGCCATTGAAGAGGAGAGGGAAAACAATCCGACGACATAGATAAAACGCCCTATAGGCAAAATGTATAATTTCCCTCCTCTGATTCTGTTCCATTTGCCAATTTTCTTCCTATTGCTCTCAGTTTTCGGTTGAGAGTACTTTGTTTCCTCCTCCTCTTCTTCTTCTTCTTCTGTTGTTTCGCGAATAGCGGCTCTCAGCTCGCTAACATGTGCCCTATACCATGGAGAGTGGTTTGATTCCTGGACAAATCTATAACTGCCGATCAATTTGGCGTGATCTCTATTTTTTCTGTCGAGATTAATTTGATTTGCTCTGAATTTTCTTTTTCGGCTAGGTTGTATCATTTTCATTTGCTGGTTATTTTCGTGTTTCTTTTATTATTGTTGCTGGCTTGATTATTTTTAATCCACTCCTGTGTATTTCGCTTGCAGCAAGAATGCCTAGGCTCTTCTTTTCAAATGCGGACACGCAGGTTCATGGAGTGCCTGAATTTTAACATTTTGCGATCCTGTAACTGGAATTTCACCTTTGAGTTTTATATTTTGTATCTTGCCTCTTACTGTGTGGAGTACGAATACATGCCTTTTTGTTAGTTTTTTAATCCACTGATCAGAGTTTTAGTCTGAATAATCTCTCAGCATGTTTCCTCTCGGCACAATGAGATTACAGATGAACTCCAGCCATGCTTCACCACAGATAACACCAAAATCCTCAAATTGGTTGAAGGAGTTCTCACTGTAATGTTCCCTTCTTTCTCTCTGTGCGTCCGAGTGCGAGAGAACTCTCTCTCTTGTTGGTTATTTTATAAGATCATAAATAATATATAAATAGATATTAATTCATTAATTCATTAAATTACTTATTTCTGGACTTTTCGTATTGAACCAGCCCATAATGGAGGGGCCAAAAGCCAACATGAGATTTGGTGATTCAGGCCAATTGTTACAACTTTCAACTTCCGCAGTTGGTTGGCGATGGATTACTTGATGCAGCTTTGAACCTAAAGAATACTTAAAGAATATACCTACTTATGGAAGTTACGGTGTAAATGCTATTTCCGCAGTTAGTTTCATTTTTCTTGGAGGAGGATGTCAACAATGGTCTATTTTGGTGATGCGGCAAAGTGGTTGAATTATGATTTATGAGTAGATGGGCCTTAACTCTGAGGATTTAAATAGCATCGAAGTTTCACTAGCCCTTCAGAGGCCAATCCAAGCTGGACTACTAGTATTGGAGTAACACTGGTTTTCTGTTCGTATTTGCTTGCAAATGCTCAAATTGCTCTGGTCTATGATGGGATCAGGGGGAAAAAAATTGGAACAAGACTGCAAGAGTAAGGGGGAGATAAGGTTATTTTATCTGAAACACCTATTGAGTGGTGAGTGGTTCACGTAAAGGCACTGGCATTCCAGGTATGCTTTTCACTTTAGATAGTTCCCCCCCTCAATGACGTCCACTATGAAGTTGAATATATTATGACTATTGTCTGCAACAGTTGTTTATACATCCTGCTACTTCTGCACATAGTGTAAAAAAGAAACTATTAGTTACCACCATTGTATTAGTTAAGAATAGCTACTAGCTAGTATCGCTGCTCCTTTTCTTTTTGGAATGGAAAAGGGAAGTATCGCTGCTCCTTTTTAAAGATAGTGTGTATATCAACAGGAAACATAAAGCAAAGAGCATGAGGAGAGGAAGAAAAACGTTCAGTTTTGATTCATTGTAAACTGTTCGAGGAACACTGGTATGACAGTTCATAGTCTATACAAACTATAGACAGACCCTAACTAAAGTTTGGAAAAATTCAGAGTAACAACTTTATAAGAATGGATGGATGCCATGCCTTCAAAATCGGGTAAATATGCTTTACTTGTTTGGTTATTAAGAAAGGTACACAGATAACATTTTCATAGAAATTTAAGCCATTTTTGTCTTATGATAAATTATTTTGTACTTGAATTTAATAAGATCCATTTGGCAAGCATGTGAAATCAAGGATGCTGCATATAACTTTCACTTTTTGGCTGGACATATCATTTTGCTCATTCTTCCATCTGAGTTTCAGGGGCCTTTATTTGAACGAGTTTTATATCAAACTTGAATGTGCAGTTCTTCATGCTGACGTTTGCAACATAGTTTGGTATGAGAAACTCTGTATTACGTCGTACCGGAGCAAATATTCTTCGGGGTAACTTAAAATTCCTAATATTATCACTCCTCTCATTTTCCTTGCGTCAAAAAAATGCTATGATAGACAAGGCACTGAATGCAGAATTTCTGACTTGATCGATCTAGTTGTTACAATAGTTTTTTAAAGTCGTGCATTATTGGATTGGGAAAGAAAAGGAGTTTCTAATAGATAATTGGTTGAATTCTGGTTCTATTTTCAAGGTCTGTCTTCTCATAGTCGAATTTTTGCCGATTTATTGCTGGTTATTGAAGTGCATGAGTTTACCTTTTGAGTGGTGCATTGTAGGATGGAAAGCCGAGTCAGACAGAAGATTTAGATTAACGTATAAGTTACAAAATAAAGCATAGAGTATAATTCAAGCGGGCCAGTCCCACAAATAAAAGCCAGTGTAGTTATACGACAATGTGACATGTTAACATGCTAGTGTAGGGGATAAAATATTGATTATAATGAAAATAAAATCATTAGAGGATTTGTTACAAACATGTACTTACATGCTTAGAGAATCAAATATTGGCTTTAGGTTATTACTTTCAATGTAGCATTCAGTATTCACTTTTACTTGCAAAGCATTTCATCGTAATACCATGCATGATATTATCCCTCAACTTCTCATCAGGTAGGGTCGTATTTTGTATGAAGGTAGATTGTGAACTCATGTCTTGTATAAAATTTGAGGTAAATTATATTGTTCATGGGTGATAAAATAATGTGCGTGCATGTGTGTATGTGTTTTTTTTTTTGGGGGGGGGGTGTTATAATAAGCTGGAAAAAGTACTACTTTGAGGTTTTTTGTTCAAATGACAGTATTTAGAAGTGTCATATCTATATATAGATTTATAACCGACCAAATAAGGGATCAATGTATTAAATGATCTCATGGTCAGGTTAGTTGCGAATAAAAAGAGGCCCTTCTGAAGAACCAATTTTTAAGATGAAGTCAGTAAACACTTATGCACTCTTCCTATAAATATAAATTAGCCAGTCAAAAACACAATGAAAAAGAAAAAGCGAGTATCGTGTACACAAAATACCTGCTTCAATTGAAAATGGATATTTAAGTCCTAATAACCCCGGGTTAAGTCAATTGTTTAGCATATTCTCTCTTCGGTGAATCCAACTTAGGGTCTAATGGAGCATTTTTCTTCTTTTCGTAATTTACAGTTGGAACTATCCCTTTGTAATTTCCTCTGGTAACTGAAATTATGTGGCATGCCACATAATTGCGGTAACAGATGACGAGTTGGTTAATAATTTTGAGTAGTATTCGTTATGTGCCAAATGTAATTTATTTCTAATCTGTTTTTCATAAAATTAATATCAAAATTGAATAACTAAATCATAATTAATGTAATAGAAAATTTTAATTCATTGCGAGTGGTGTGGATAGAATCTGATAAAGCGATAGTGGATAGATTATTCCTCAATTTCAATAGATAATCTGAAATTGTAGATCCTTGCATTTTCTTTGAAAATTTTTATATTTAAAAGAGTTAAAAAAGGGTAAACTCTAGAAGATCCATAGGGCCATACACTATAGTTATCAGAATTTTTTTTTCATCGTTATCTAGTGGTAGTTGTCATTAAAAGTAACGAAAATGAAAATTTAAAATGCGTCTGTTGGAATATATATATATATATATATATATCAAGCTAAATTTGTTTATAAACTGATACATAAGCGCTTTAATTTTAAAGATGGCAGAAAAAAGAAGCCATCGTAAATAAACACATGGGCAACATTTTAATTCCCTTATTTTGTGGCAGATACAAAAGCCTCATCCGCAAATCTTTCCCTTCAAATTGATATTCAATCAATAGCATCTCATCATCGCTCACGGTTCTCAACACAACCCCTATCCATACCCATTCGATCGCGTCGTGCCCGCCACTTGGACGTTTCTGATTTGTTTCATTCAGTTGCCGCGGGTCCCACATAGCCACGCCTTAACGGGACCCACCCGCTGGGCAAGGGCCTACACCGCTGCGAGATTTGCTGTCAACGGCCCTGATCCTGCTTATCCACCGGCGGATCCCGTACCTTGAGGGGCACGACGTTAGGAAAAAAAAAAAGTACTTCATCATCTCCTCCTCGACGTCGTTGTCGTGTTCATCGTCATCGGCCTCTCATTCACATAAAATGGATTAAAAATTATTAATTTCAAGTTTTGTGGGAGTGTCTTTGAATGAAAGAGCTCCCAAAAATTCTCTGCCTTTGAAATCCAGATACCGGTAAGGACGGGAAAGAGGGAAAGACAGATAATTTCAGGAGATGGGAAGAGCTTTTGTTTATGTGATTCTCGGAGGAGGAGTCGCTGCTGGCTATGCTGCTCTTGAGTTCGTTAAAAGAGGAGTTTCTCAGGGTGAACTCTGCATAATTTCTGAAGAACCGGTGAGATGTTTCTGTTTTATTTCGCTGGTTTCTGGCTTCGTTGCGCTCGTGTCTTTTCTGGCGCCTGTCTTTCTCCTTAATATTTTACCCAAATTCATAGTGCTCAACAACCCCAATTAAAGCCTTGTTTCAAATTTTTTCACGAATTTTATGTTGGAGATGTGCATGGCAATACTGTCTTTTAGTTCGCGGCTTTGGTTGGCCCGTTGAGGATTTTGCTCAAATATACAATACGACTATAAATGTGGCCTTATATTTTACCTTGGAGCTGAATTACTGCATATCTGTTAAGATATTTATAGTTTTGGCCTTAGTTCTTCATTGTTGTTGCACGCATTAGAATCTGCTCTAAACCAGAATGACTGAATGAGGGCATCCTGTTCAAGTGATTCTCTAGAAATAAGTGAATCTCTTCTTTATAGTCAGAAATACATAAATTCCCAAATGTGTTTCAGGTTGCACCTTACGAGAGACCTGCATTAAGCAAAGGATTTTTACTTCCAGAAGGTACATATAAACTTTTCCCATGGCAGCTTGTCGGCTGCGAACTTTGATTTGTGAAATTTCATTAAATGTATTTTATGCTTCGTGTGAGCAAACGAAGACATGTGCCTCTTCCGGATACTAATCGATACAGCATGGCCTTTGTGCACCAAATTTATAAGTACTCTGCTACACTTTATATTAGATACTCCTTGGCAACGTGGTCTGTTTGCCCCTTCATAAATCAGTTAGTGCATTCTTCCAATTTTGATAGCCTCTTCGAGCATTGTATGATCTTTAAACGGTTAGGTTTGCAAAATTTAATTACCACTTATTTTCTAAAAACTATCTATCTATTAACAACCGTTCTCTGACTTATCATTGTTCAGGAGATTTCATTGTCAGAGTGCTCTTTGGGGAACTGTAATTTTATATTAGTTTCCTCAAAAGTTGAATTCATGGGCACCTTATTTTGGCATCCTGTTGCTTCTTTATTTTCAATAATGTAATTATTCAAATTTGAATTGTTTGTCAATCTAAGATGCTACCCCGTAAAATTGAGGAATCGAAGTGGGAACTCAGGATAGTACTTGCATTTAGACAAATTATTTTAATGCTCTTCTCTATGGTTGAGGATGATAGATAGTTGTACTTCTTTTTCTTTCGTTGCATTTTCTTTTTCTATTTACTCTATTAGCTTGGTTGTTAAATAGTTTCTGAAATGAAGTTTAAATGCACAGCCCCTGCACGGCTTCCTGCCTTTCATACTTGTGTTGGTGCAAACGGAGAAAGGCTGACTCCAAAATGGTATAAGGAACATGGTAATGAACTAATGATTTTCTCATATCAATTTCTTTTTTTTTTTTTAATAGTAATTTAGCAAGCTTGCTTCCTATTTACTTTACCTTTTGGTCGCTTTTTGAGTGGTTGTGCTCTTACTATGCTCTTTGTGCGTGAGTTTATTTGGTGCTGATAATTGACATTTGATAGAGTAAAAACTTGATTTGACAGTTGATAGGTACTATTATGTTCATGTCACCAACCTTCACGACTGACGAAACAGGTTTTTTTCATGCAGTGCATGGGTTCAAAGAATGAGCCACGTTGTTCATGTCCTGTGAATAATGTGGTTTGTAGTTTGCTGCAGATTTTATTATATATATCGATTTGCACCTCTCATGTTGCAGCATTCTTCGGAAGCTATAGCTCAATAGGCATACCAATTATTAGTTGATTGATGATGGGATTCGGGACGTAGTTTATTCCAGGAGACTGCATCGTGTCCATTCTAATCATGATAAGAGACTGGATTCGAGAATTCATCTGTTATACACTGCCTGATGACTTTAATATTTAGATGAATATGACAAGTGAAAGAAAAAAAGGACCCGAATTAAATGCACTACCTGATGACTTCAATATTTTGCTACTGATATTCATAGACTAGGCCTGACTAATGAATGCCACTATATGGTGGATTTCTTTTTTAAATTTCTGACTCTTTCGTCAGCTAGTCATTTCTATTTCTGATCAGATGGTTTCGTGCTTTTTCAAAAGATACTAATTTTGTAAATTAACGGTATTCCTCGCTGAATATCTACTTCTCAACGCTTCTATTTCCTTGCCAGGAATTGAATTAGTTCTTGGAACGCTAGTCAAGTCTGCTGATGTGAAGCGCAAAACACTATTAACAGCTGCTGGAGAGACCATAAGTTATAAGATTCTCATCATTGCTACAGGTGCTCGGGTATTGAAACTAGTCTCTTAGTGGGCTAATCCCTTTTATCAGTTCATCATGTTAACCTAGTGCTTGCATGTGTTGGTTTTCGAAAGAGCAATAGGGAATGGGTTTTGGCGATTTGTTACCCACACAGACACACGCGCACAGATGTCGTCGTCATCACTGCCCCCAAGAAGCATGCAAAAGAGAAGGATTTGGGAACATCTTAATAGGCATAAGGAATAGCTTCTCCATTTCAATGACCTGACTTGATGTTTATGTTGGATTAATTGAGAATAGATAACAGATGTGCTACAGTAGATTCTGTTATTTCTTTTTTATTAAAATAAATTCTGAAGAATATTAAGTTTGATTGCAATGTCAAGCACAGGCGTTAAAGCTTGAAGAATTTGGAGTGAGTGGATCAGATGCTGAAAATGTTTGCTATTTGCGACACTTGGCCGATGCAAATAGGTTGGTTGATGTTATGCAATCCTGTGTTGGGGGAAACGCTGTTGTCATTGGCGGTGGGTACATAGGCATGGAGTGCGCTGCATCCCTAGTGATCAATAAAATAAACGTGACCATGGTCTTCCCTGAAGCACACTGCAGTAAGCACTGACATTTCAACAATGTTCTGTTTGTCAATTCCTGTTTGTGTCAGTTTGCGGGCATCACAAGTTTAAACCACATGCTGCTAAGACATGCATGACGTAGATGTGTTGTTGATTCTACAGTGGCTCGTTTGTTCACTCCAAAGATTGCAAACTTCTATGAAGATTTTTACAAATCAAAAGGAGTAAACTTCATTAAGGGAACTGTGCTGTCATCGTTTGATTTCGACTCAAATGGGAAGGTACTTGAAAATTTTCTTCATTATTTTTCTGTAATATTAGAGGTTAAAAGTGAAACTTGGCCAAACTTTTGTAACTCTGAACCGGGGGGAACTAGCCTCTTATTTCTTAGTTGGAGGTATGATCTCCCCCGTTCATCGGACTTACATCAAACATCTATTCATAAAGGTAATAGGTTTTCTTAAGAAAAGAGTAAAAGATAACCCGTTCGTATTGGTTACCTGTCACCAAAGTCTAGAGTTCAATCTCTGTCGCCCTGCTCTATCTTAAATCTAAATTTCAGCACAAGGGCAGTTCACTTTTGTTTTATTCATGCTCGAAGCATAAAAAGCTTTGGTGGGTAGGAGGACATCAGAGATATTAAAAGAACTGAATGAGCCTGCTCTTAATTGTTCACATTCTTTAATTAAAATGACCCTTAACAATTATCTGGTTGATTTTTTGTACAGGTTACAGCTGTTAATCTAAGAGATGGAAGCAAGCTATCCACAGACATGGTTGTGGTGGGTATTGGAATTCGCCCAAATACGGGTCTATTTGAAGGCCAATTGACTTTGGAGAAGGGCGGAATCAAGGTAAACGGCAGATTGCAGTCAAGCAACAGTTCCGTCTATGCAATAGGAGATGTGGCAGCTTTTCCTGTCAAGCTGTTTGGGGAAACTCGTAGACTTGAGCACGTGGATTCAGCACGAAAGTCTGCAACCCACGTTGTTGCTGCCATTATGGAACCGGAAAAAACAGGGGAATTCGATTACCTGCCTTTTTTCTACTCGAGAGTTTTCTCGCTGTCTTGGCAATTTTATGGGGATAATGTTGGAGATGTAGTGTATTATGGAGATATGTCGGGCAGTACATTTGGAGCGTACTGGGTGAGCAAGGGTCACCTCGTTGGGTCATTCCTTGAAGGTGGAACCAAAGAAGAGTATGAAGCCATAGCCAAAGCCACCAAGCTAAAGCCTGAAATTGAAGACTTGTCCGAGTTGGAGAGGCAAGGTTTGGGGTTTGCGATAGCAATTAGTCAGAAACCACCTGCATCTTCTTCTTCGCCTGTTGACGTTGGGGGTCCTCCTGGCCTTCTTCTGGAAAAACCACTCTATGCTTGGCATGCTACCGCTGGAGTTATTTTTGCTGCATCAATAGCTGCGCTCGCATATTTTTACGGTAGAAGGCGTCGAAGATGGTGAGATTTCTGACACGAGGCCGAGCTGTAATATTTGTAGGCTTAGAATATAGGATGACTTCATTGTATCTGATCAACTTAATCGACCGCAATCCTCCAGCTCTATTATTTTTCTTACATGTTCTTTGTACCAAAAGGAAAATATTCATATATGCGCGCGCACACATATATATATTTCTAATGCCGGATGCCCACCCCTCCTCGCGAAACGAAGTAGTCACTCGTACAGGTCGATCTATTTTCTAAAGAATTCTCCTCTCCTCGAGGCCTGCGATCATTCCATGTTCTCTCTACTAGGTACAGTAATAATTCTCGTCAAGAAACAAAGAAGGGAAGATGAATTTGGAGACTCTATATGCTATTTTTACAAGCTAACCAAAAACCAACACAGATTGGAAGAGGATTCATATTCTGTAACCGTGTGCCGAAGTGCAAGTGCAGATGCTGCCGGCTGAAGGTTGGGCATTCCTTCCCAGAGCACGCACGTTCACCATTTATCATCAGCCTTTTTCCTTGGAATCAGTTTTTCCTAACAAGTTTAATACACTGGCCAAAATCGGAGCATGAAGTATGATCCTTAGCACAGTTGGCACTTAATCTGGTTCCTTAAGCATTTACTCGATTCCTGACAATGTGTTCGTTGGATTTGCAAGAAAAGATTAGAGGGGATTCCTGATAATGTGTTCGTTGGATTTGCAAGAAAAGATTAGAGAGGTGTTTAGATAAGAATAAAATTATACTTTTAGAAGTATTTTATAAAAAAATATATAGAGGAGTTTGTTTAATTTATAAAAAAATACTTCTAAAAAGTGATGACGAGGTGTTTCAAATACTCTCTGAAAAAGAAAAGAGAAAAGGACCGGCACCGTTGTCCAGGGGAAATGCCCTCTTCGGTGACTGAAATGACCGTGGTAGAATAATTATGAGTATTTTGCAAGGGCATTTGTGTCACTGCAGAGGGGAGACGCAGCCACAAGCACCCACACCCGTTTTCCTTTCATCTCTTTCCTTATCCTCTATTTCTATCTTGTTCGGCTCTCCCTCTTATCCCTCGCTCAGGCGCAGAGGAGAAGCAGAAGAGTGACAAGCAGAAAGCTAATTCGCAATGGCGACCACTCTATCCACTCTTACTCTTCGTTCCCCATCTTGCTCCACACCTACTCCTTCCTCTTATCCCTCTCATTCTTCCGCCTCCTTCAAACCCTCCATCCAATTCCCCTTTTCTCCCCATCCCAATCTTACCCAACGAGCCACCCATCTCCGCCCCCTCGCCGCTGTTGCCGCCCCCGAGAAGATCGAGAAGCTCGGCGCAGATATCTCCAACCTCACCCTCGAAGAGGCCAAGATCCTCGTCGATTACCTCCAAGACAAACTCGGCGTCTCCGCTGCCGCCTTTGCTCCCGCCGCCGTTGCTGCCGCCCCAGGTGCCCCGGCCGACGCCGCCCCTGCAGCCGCCGAGGAGAAGACTGAGTTTGACGTCATCATTGATGACGTCCCCAGTAACGCGAGGATAGCTGTTATCAAGGCTGTTAGAGCCTTGACGAGCTTGGCTTTGAAGGAGGCTAAAGAATTGATTGAAGGGTTGCCGAAGAAGTTCAAGGAAGGAGTTTCGAAGGATGAGGCTGAGGACGCCAAGAAACAGCTTGAAGAGGCGGGAGCAAAGGTTTCCATTGCTTAAACTTTAGAGTCTCTGCAGGATGGTTCGTTGAATTTGAGCTTTTAATTTTTCTTCTTTAATGTAATTTTATAGCTATTTCTTAGTTGAGTACAGTGCAATGTGATTGTTTATGCTTGAATTTCAAGTCAGTTGTAATCGAGGAGTTCTATTTATGAATCACATTCTAATTTCATGGGTTTGCAGCTCTTATATTTTTGCTGTCACTGTTTGAATCAAAGTTGGGAGAATAATTCGAACGTTGAGTTTTTTCTGTTTCCATCAGCATTTGTTGCTGTAAATTATCATTTTGAATGTTTTCTTGGTGATTGAATCATTTGTGGGAAAACAAGCTATTATATGACTCAGCTATTCTGATAGAGCGCAAACCAGTGCTGTATTTAAACAAATTTATCTTTTTGTGCAAGATTTGATCTCTCTGATTAGACAACTGATGATTGCCCAGTGAGATTTGAATCATAGTTTCTCAATTGACTCATCTGCCGCAAATGCAAGGGCTCCTTTTGAGGAGAAGCCCTGCTGGCAGCTTTAACTGAGAATGAATAGCCTGAAGCTCTCTTGAGTTCGGGGAGGCGTGAAAATGTTTGATGCTGACGAATTTGTTGGAGGTGTGGGTTTTGCTACGAATTCATTAGTGACTGGGTTAAAAAAGTTTAGCCAACTTTTTGATGCATTTGAAGAACCTAATTTTGAGCTGCTTGCCGAGTTGTATCGTTTGTATTAGTTAAGCACTTAAGCTGCATAATAAATCAATGATCTCTTACTCCTTGTTATTAGGCTAGAAAATGGGCATGCGTCAGTTGTTTCGGTTATTCCCTTCGTCTCTATTTCAGCACTGGTTTATCCTGGTGTCTATTTTTGAGCGCCTTCGGAACTTGTGACATATTCCCAATTGATTATCGTTCGATAAACTGAAATGTGAACCGGATGCCTGGATGGTGTGCGATAGTTTTGTTGATGAAATTGCTGAGAATGCGGCCCTTTTCTTAATGGGATCGCTCATCTGGGAGCACCTCAAAAGCTCTGCTCTTTTCATACAGATCCCTGATTTGTTTATCGTTTTGGGCTTTCTTCCCCCTATTGGGCTCAAGCCCTCTCTTTGAATCCCAAAATAGGGGTTTTTAGATGCTAGAGGAGAGCAGTACATCAAAGAAAGTCTGGCAGGCTTGGGGTGCATCGTCCTTATCTCCTCTGGAATGCTTTTGAAAATGAAAACCAAGCCATGCAGCATTAAATCCAAGATTTGGTTTTATTCTAGGGTTAAAATGCATCTAATATTTCGAAATATATTCTTAAATGCATTTAGCATGCTGAGATATTTTTTTCCAGATGTGTTCAGTATCCTGAATTTTTTTTTTTGACATCCTTTTAAAAAATACTTTAAGGTATTAAGTGCATAAAAAAATATTAAGGTGCTAGACGTACTAAAAAAATACTTCAGAGTGTTAGATGCACTATAAAATATTTTAGAATGATAGATGTATCTGAAAAAAATACTTCGAGGCATTGAGTGTACTTTAATTTTTTATTCTATTGTGAAAGCAAGTCATCATTCTTCATCGAATTCCATTTGAAACGGGCAATTGAGACGTGTTTTTTCCTTTTTTTTATAAGCAATTGAGACGTTCTAATCTCTGCGTGAAGTAGGAAGTTCCGTGTACATATTCGCACCACAAGAGTAGCCATTTTATAAAGAATTGATCCTTTTAACATTTGCAGCAGCTTCTACGCTTCAATAGTCAACTGATTTTTGTGATGAAGTGCTCAAAATTGATGTATGGCTGACCAATAAGCTAGATTTCAAGGCAGAATGATATTTCTTTCTGTACTTAATATAATAACTTATTTTATTTTTATTTTGGTTTAAAATATAAAACCCCAATTCACTTTATCTTTTTTATTTATTTATTTTTTAAGACAGTTTTTATAATAACTGTAATTGTAATTAATATATCTAATTAAGAAGAATGTTTTAGAAAAGACAACACCTATTTATTATAAATAACTAATCTAACTAACTTTTTTTAATATACTCAAATTAATTAACTAATTTTTATATTAAGAATCAGAGTAGTAGTAACGTACCAGAACAAATTATAATCAAATAATTGTAATTTTGTTTTTTATTAAAGAGGAGGAAGAAGAAGAAGAGCATTTCCAATATCACGAAAGGGCCGAAGCATGCTGATGATATGGCCCGTGAAGTGTGTCGTTTCTTTTTGTGGCCTTTTGGTGTGATCCGTTGGTCATGTGACGTTGACACCATAACCGGACAATTTAGTGGCCTCATCATGATGCCTCACCCATCTATGAGAGGCTCTTGTCAACTCCCAGCGTTGGACCACCCCAGACCTTCCTTCTCTCCTCTGTGACGGGACATACAAAGCCCCGATGGACAGTCGATTTTAGAGGGTGTTTGGATAGAAACCAGACCATAATTTTAGAAGTGTTTTTACAGATTACGAAATAAATATATGGAGGAGGTTATCTCATTTTACAGAAAAGTGCTTCTGAAACTGCAGTTTTAGGAATGCCAAACACCCCCTAGGGCTCCATTGGCCTAGCCTCTCTGCTCAGGAGGACAATCCTAGAATCTGTTCAAAAATTGATTGGGGTTTAAGTTCTGGCGGAGGATATGAAGTTAACTGAATATATATATATATATATATATCGGTGTTATGTTCTTTATTTTCTTATATATTGACACTCAAATAGCCAGCATGAGTGGGGAGGACTCGGATGAAAGTGGGGAAAGCCACGAACAGAGGCCTAGCTATTAATTTTCAATTATTCAGTCCCTTTTCATGCTTCGTATGTATGTATATTTTTAGGTGACGTGTGAAAAAACTATAAATATTCAATAGCTGACCGTGAATTTCTCATGACAAAGGTTGTGAAGGCTGATAGAGATTCAGTTCATTTTTTTTTTAAAATAATAGGATGAATAACAGAAAAAGAAACTGAAAATTACAAATTCTAAATCTGGTTTAGTAACACAATTTTATTTGATATTAATAAGTCTAAATTTACAAATGATAATAATTTTTGTTGAAATTTTTTATTTGATATTTACAGAATTTCAATTTTTTTTTGGTTATTGTACTAAATAATACTACTGTCCGAAAATGATTTCCTTGATCAATTCGTCCTTATCTTCTTTCTCTCCGCTGTGTCAGTTGTCCGGATTTTTCTTTTTATGTTGTGAATAAAAAAGTATTCCAATTGAATATATATATATATATATATATATTTGTCACAAAGGTGCACATCTGAATCGATTCAGTTTGCATTCTCTCTAGGATATTCTATTGTCGAGAAATGCTTGCAAATTTTTTCTCCTTCGCTATATATAATTGGCATTTTTGGTTGTGTTATTGGTGTTTGTGTTTTTTACTCAGGATATAATAGTTATAGCTGTCAATTAGTTTTTCAATCTAATTATGACATAATTTTTACTGTCCCCTGGAAGAAGTATTGACTTATATAATTTTTTTTCCCGGTATGATTTGATATTTTTCTTTCTTTGGAAAACTTTGACCTCTCATAACTTCTTTTAATTAGTTGCACAAAACTTGCTTTTAGAAAGCTCTAATTATAAAGACTAAGATGCCACAGCATTTTGTTTATCAGCAATTGATGGGGAAAGCTTCCAGCTGCTGGTTCGTGGCATCGCCAAATCACCGCCGCTCCTGCAACCCGTGCTCCCAAGTACAAAAGCAGCGAATCTTAATTCTCGAAGTTTATGGAATAACAATAAAATATTCATCCATCCATTTCATATGGGGGGTTTAAGGGGCATCTTACATCTGGCCCATAATATTTTGAAAGTGTGTCATATTTTTTTTTTTAATCTTACTGCTGAATACACAAATTTTTTTTTTTTAAGTGTTGAATGTATATAAAAATATATTTTAGGATACTGGATAAGTTACAAAATATTTTAGGCTTCTGAATATTTCAATATAAATGATTTATTCAGGCGACTTCTGTTTTATGCATGAATTTATGAGGAAAATATATTTGACCCATTTAATTCATGAATGGAGCTTCTAAAATAATTATAAGATGCTTTAGGAATTAAGTAATTAATGAATTAAATATTTAATAGAAAAATTTTAAAGAGTTGTGTTGATAGTAGGCTGTAATTTCATATTTTTAATTAAAATTTATAATTGTTTTTGTTAAAATTACGTGAATAAAAGTTGAGGGGAAAAATGAAAATATTTTGATAATTGATTGGAATCTGACAAGTAACAAAGGAAAAGGCGGATAACCAGGACATGAGGGACAAAATACGCGGCACAAATATAGAGCGAGTAGGGCACAAGCGTAGTCGCGAGAGTACGCGTGGAGTGTCAAAACGTTGAAGCTTCGATGACATCAAAAGGCCCGAGGCATTAGGGACCGTCGGATGAGGGACATAGACCCAGAATGTCCACCGACTCAGTGACTCAGCTGCGTCCTGTAATAACTAGTCATCCGTAATTAAGCGTAATAAATGTTCGCCTTCTGGGCATTGTATCTCACGCTCCTCTTGAGGTTTTCGTGCACTCGACAATATGCGTTCTTTCGCTCCTTCGATACACTCTCTGATTCTATCCTTTCGGGTTATTTTAATGAATGAATGAATGCTCATATTTATGTGCTCACTCTTGGATTCGTCTTCTTTAGTCTCCTGCTCTCTTTTTGTTTCTCTATTCCTTTGATCAGTTCTTGAGTTGTATATTTTCAAGAATCGCTTCAAGGCATTAACTCGGGAACCCTAGCTTTTGCTCTTCAGGTACCCCCGCCTCATCTTCCGTTATATTGCTTTCGTTTTATTCATTTTGCTTAATTAAATTATTGTTATTATTTTCTTTTTTTTGTGATTTCCTTTGATCTTCTATTGAGTAATATTTTTAAATCCCAATTTGTTAGCTTATACCCTTAAAAGCCTAAACCCAAACCCTAGAACATGTTGATTCTTACATGTCCTCCATGTTTTCCTTCGCAATAGGTTGATTTGTCTTGAGGAAGAGTTTTTCTTATGGGCACGGTTGAGACTCGATCCAAAACATCGATGGAGGGTTCATCCCTTGCGCCTGCAAATGATAAGCCTCGAGGTTCAGAGTCTGAGAGCAGGACCCTTAAGGAGGCTCTTGCCGGTTCGAAGGGAGGGAGTCGAGAAACTGGTGTTAGGTTCTCAAGTAATGGAAATGGGGGTTTGGGCGATGACGGGGAAGAAGTGGTCAAGAGCAGGGCCGTTGCAGCGAAAACTCCGATTCAGAGAGGCCGAGAGGTAGATACCTCCAACGCAAATGATTGTCAGGGTTTGGGTGATTCCGAGATGAATGGCGTCTCTTCGCTGTTGAAAATGCGGGAAAGCGGCAGAAATGTAAATTTTTCTCATGTTGGTGGGAGTGACAGTGCTGACAAGCTAAACTGTAATTATGCTTCTACTGAGAGGAGAACACGAGCTGCTGATTTTTCAAGTGGGGATGGTTCGTTAGGGGTCGGTGTTGAAAAAAGACCTAATAGGAAGAAGAGAAGAGAAAGTAAAGAGAATAATGAACGAGTTGTCACAATAGAGGTTCCAATTGTGGAGACTAGTGAGAACAAGGATTCAGAAGACGTAGACGCCAGCGATGAAGAGTATGGACTCTCTGTTGGTGACTTTGTCTGGGGAAAAATTAAGAGTCATCCTTGGTGGCCTGGCCGGATTTATGATCCTTCTGATGCATCAGATTATGCTTTGAAGTTGAGGCAAAAGAATAGACTCCTTGTGGCTTACTTCGGAGATTGTACCTTTGCTTGGTGTCATCCATCTCAACTAAAGCCCTTTGAGGAGAACTTTGAGGATATGGTGAAACAGAGTAATTCTAAATCTTTTGTAAATGCTGTACAAGATGCTGTGATGGAGATTGGTAGGCTTTTAGATATGAAGATGACTAATTCATGGTTTGCTAGGAAAAGTAAGGCTGAAGTTGCCTCCCTTTTGGCAAAGAACTCTGGAATAAAGGATGGAATTCTGGTGCCTGAGAATGGTATAGAGAAACTCTCGACTGTTCTTTTTGACCCAGTTGAGTTGCTTTCTCGAGTGAAAAAGATGGCAGAGGTCATTGCCATCAGTAGTGTTCTTGAGCTGGAAATACTAAAGGCTCGGCTCTCAGCCTTTTATCTGTATAGAGGAGGTTATAAGTTGCCTAATTATCATGCGCCCCAGCCAATCCCTGGACTTGAAGACAATGGAATTGATGAAACTGTGGATAAAGGTAATCGCAAAGAGACAACAGTACAAGGACCCTCTGATGAGGAATATTCCTTGCCAGTGAGTCCAAAACGTGGTGAAGCAAGTCATCCTTCAGGGACTAGATTGCATCATAGAAGGAAACAGAAAAGCATTGCTGAAATTATTAGAGAGGACAATGATCTTCATACCAAAGTTAACGAAGGGGTAGAAAATGAAGTAGTTAACCCTGGCAAAATAACAGGGTCATCTGGTAGAAAGAAGAGGAAAAGCCTTGAGGATACAATGACAACTACACAAGCACAGAAGACGCTAGGGTCACCTCCGTGTAATGATCAAAATGTACCAAGTAGTGAAACTGTCGGCCGTGGGGCAAATCAGACGGCCAAGGAGGGTACATTATCACATTTGAAAAAGAAGAAAGATGATATGGGTAATAATAGTGCTCAGAGTAAAACAGAATCTCATGTAGCCCCTGTAATAAGAGAAGAGAACTTGAACAGGAAAGAAGGGAAAGAACAAATTGAGAAGGGTTCTTTGTCAAGAGAAAGGAAGAAAAGCAAGTACTTGTCACCTCCTTTCACGACTCCAAGCAGAGGTCAGAGGAAGGGCGAGAAAGAAACATCGGTTAAGGATTCCGGCAAAGCTCTAATATCTGAGCAGATCACCAGAGCTGCTGGTGAGCTCCTAGGGACCTCCACTCCTTTGAAGAACGATGGTCAGGCAATTCAAGAGACTCTACCTAAAGAACCTGCTGCGGTTCAGGAGAATATCCCTAAGGAACCTGCCATAGATCATGATCTTACAGATAAATTAAATTCCCAAGCACCAGAAGAGAAGAACGAGACTATTGATCTTAAGAAAATACAGGCTTCTCCTGGAGAAGTCATATCTAAAGTCCGCTCTGCTGCCTTGAATCCACAAGTTCCTAAGGATATTAATTTTATTGAAAAGATTGTGGGCTTTATTTCTGTTTTCAGAAGCTCAATGTATCGCCAGGGATCCTTCTTCACATTGTGCAACAAACGTCAACCTGGCAGGAAGAGGAAGAATCCAGAATCTGAACCTGGGACGTTAAGGAAATCCCAAAACCTAGCTGATTACTCGTCACCTAATCATGAATCTGAGAAGAGGAAAAGAAGGAAGAAGATGGATACTGTTTCTGGTACACCGAAAGAAAAGCTGGTTGCTGAAAATAAAATGACAGGCCGAAAGGGGGGTGACGAAAATGTGTCAACTGCAGCACTTGTTATATCATTTGGATCGGGAACTTCACTCCCTTCAAAATCTGAGCTTATAACGTTGTATAGTCAGTTTGGAGCTCTGAATGAAGCAGAAACAGATGTATTTTGTACTAGTTACACTGCTCGAGTGTGCTTCCTGAAAACTTCTGATGCCGAAGTGGCCTTAAATCATTCAAAAAATGTGAGCCCATTCGGATCTTCTGACGTGAAATTTGAGCTCGGGCATTGCCAAGTTGGATCCAAGTCCGGTGAACATGGTGGAAAACCGAAGGCCAAAGCTTCTACTGCGAGAAAGAAAGACAGGACCCCGGCCAAGCCATCTACTCCACACTCACCTGTTATGGGAGTATCCAACTTGGACTTCATAAAGCAGAAGCTTGAGGCTATGAGCACAGTGCTGGAAGGATCGGAAGGTATGTCATCAGATATAAAGAAAAAAATAGAGAGCGACATTAAGGGGCTCTTGGAGAGTGTGAGAAAAATGGCTGAATCTTCGTCGTCTTAGAAAAAAGACTCGAGAGACTTGTATTAGTAGTGTAGCTGATCAGGGTAGGTTTAGTAATAATATGTCATTTGCTTTTAGTGGTCTATGTTATCTGAGGATCAATTTGTATGCGTAATAGCTGTAGACTAAAATTATTTGCGGCATAGTTGGGTCATCAGATTCTGGTCTGGCTATTTTATTTGTTGCATGCATAGTCTGTATAGAGATCGACAGCGTTTTAATTTTTTTTTCTGTTTTTTGTCATAGTTGCCTGAAAACAGCCTGTAAGGATTAAAACTGAAGTTTTTTTTGTTATAGCGTTTTTCTGTCGTCGTTTTTGATTTTTTTTCCCCTCATTATGATTTTTTTTCAATGTAAAAGTCTTGGGTCCAGTGCTTCTATTTGCTGTGAGGGGAATTCATAGTGTTTGTGGAGGCAAAAATAGAGAACGTCAGTTCGTGGATACTTGCCTTTTCCCTTTTAGGAAAGAAATAAGAAACGCCTTTTCGGATTTTGCCATGGATCACGATCCCTTTATTTCGTGTCTCTTATCACGGATCTGTTATGACCATCCTGTGCGTATGGATTCGGTTGTGGCTTTATTTAATCTTTTTAGATATTTTGATTTCAGAAGTAGAACGAGCGAGTTCTTATGTGCTGGCTGCTCGTTGCTTATTATTCTTTTTATTTTGGCCAGCCGTTATTTGTTACTCAGTACAAAGAAGTTGTTTGAACATAGTAGTTTTTTTTATATCAATGCATGTCAGAATAATGCTATGGATTTATTAATTTTAACTTAAATGTGTAAATCATTCGTGTTTGTTTACTTATTATGAAGTGACTCTCCGCAACGGCGGCTTGTTAATTTTACTTTGGTCGGTTTCCTGAAGATAGGAAGTACACAAGGAAGCAGCAATTCATTCTAGTTCCAATTTTGAGTGGTCTAAGATGTTTGAATTGCTGCGTGAAGGAATGTTCACATTTAATATCTTTCTTGATGAATAAGTTTTATTGGTTATAAAAATGCGGTGCTCAAGGAAATAATTTAAATTTATTTAAAATTTAGTAGTTTCAGCTTCCTTTGAGAGATTCACTGTTAATGAGAATATTTGTACTTTCTAAGAATTTAAAATTTTCTTTTATTTTGAAAAGAGACGTGATTAAAAAAAAACAGTTGTATTTTTTCAGCAGAAAAAAAATTCTTCACTTAGATGTAACCAATTTATTTTTAAAAGTCAAAATCCAAAAGATAAAAATATTTAGAAACTTCACGTAACAAGTTTTGCCAGTCGGGTTGGACTTTCTCGTCCCTTATCCCTGGAGATAAAAGTAACCATACATCTTATTGGATAAAAAGAATAATATAAAATAATAATTTAAAAATAAAAAACCAAATCATCTTGTGTTTTAAATACATGTTACTAAATTATTATTAAAATTACAAGAAAATATATACTCATCCTAAATAAAAAACCCACTTTGTACTGTAATTACACTACAAAATAAATTTTATATTTAAGACCGGATCACATTATAAAGTGAGTCTTATATTTAGAACCGGAAGAGTAATAAATATCACGAAAAATATTAATCTTTGATGCCGTCAATCGTGATCGTCTTTGCAAGTTGCGAAGCAATAGGAGGGATTTCTGCTAACCCCCTTTCATATCATCCCAGTGACCTCTTGAATCAGTTTTTGTCCTCTCATGTGAAAAAATTTTAATTACGGGCGGTGCATCTTTCTACTTTGCCAGGAAAATCTAAACCTTGTCCACCTTTTCATTTTCAACGTGTTGTCCAGTGGAAAATATTCCATTCTTGCTAGCACGCGTATTTCCAACTGAAGCCTACACTAAAGTGCGAGTCTTAAGAAATCACAGAACTACAAAACAAAATATGCAGCTGAAACATGCTCAGATATATCTGTACACATAAAAAGACACAAACGGAAATTACAGACATCGAAGTAATAGGAAGATGAGCAAGGAAGAAGAAAGCTCGGATCCTGCCAATCATCCTCTATTGAACATCTACGTAGACAAATCTTAAATGACATTCATTCTCTCTTAGCTCAATCAACAATGATAATCTCCAATGACATCTAAAAACAGAATAAGAGGGGAAGTAAGGACTTCCAGATTCCAGACACCTGAAAAGACATCAGTCATCAACTGGGTCCTGAGGGGTTTCGTCGACCCTGCGTTTAATAGTAATGACAGGGCATTCAGCATGCTTCACACAAAATTCACTAACAGTGCCCACAAAAACCCTGCATCAATTCCCAAAGAATTCATTAGTCAACAAGATATCTTGGGAAAATAAGATAGGCAATGAGCATATTTATTTTCTTTTGTTTTCTTTTTGGCCAAAGATTTAAGCATACTTCAAATACCAGAAAATAAAAAGGATAAAGCCATTTTATCTCAGCCTTAAATCTCAGGCAATCCTAGCTTCATCTAATAATGAAGTATGCGCATACCTCTGGAACGGGCCGAGGCCTCGGCTGCCCACAACCAGAAAATCTGGCCGCACTCGTGTCACCTCATGACAGATTACTTCTTTAGGATCTCCGTGTCTGATCCATGCCTCACAGGCCACCTACATTAGAGACAACTCAAAGTGGGCATGTTAAGACAATATACATTAAGGCAGGAGGAAGCTTATTTTCAGACCAATTTCACATTAAGAGAATTGAGCTCATCGAATAGTATTTACCCCAATTTGATGACATCTACTGACAAAGTATTCCAGCAGATGAAGTCCTCTAACCCTATCTCTTTGTTTCATGTTTTTAAAATCATCAGGTGACGCATAGATACTATCCATGTCATCAAAACCTAGAAAAAATAGGTTAAGATACTACCATCAGGTTGTAGGTCCTTTTATTAGCATCATAGAATATCAATGCACAGTAGTTAGATGTCGAATGCCTGGCATGGATTCAAATACAAATATATCATCAAGGAAAAAATATAAAATACTCTTCCAATTCTAAATATAAAACCCATTTTGTAATGTAATTTATATTACAAAATTGGTCTTATATCTTGAACTCGAAGAGTAATAAAGTTGGCTTTAAATCGCAGTAACTCAATAAACACAACCTTTAGATTGTCATACTCATATCTAAATTGCAATGCATGACCAGTCACTCAATAATTACAAAGATCTAAACACTTGTCGTTTCATAACACCCTTCTATTTCGTTAAAGTTTGAAGACTAACGAAAGTGTTTCTTAGCAAGTATTAATGGGAGATAGAGTCGTCTTATATAGCATAATCACAGGCATTACACATGAGAAGAGGGACACTTGTACCCCCCCCAAAAAAAAAAAACATATTTATAATCAATTCGAAATGACTGAAGATAATTGTTATATGAAGAATGCAGGATAACATCAAAATTTTCTTAAACAAACAGCAAATGAAGTCCACTCATATTGTAGCCAGTTCACCTGCAAGAGAGATGGATATAGGCCGCAGAAAAACTGAGTCGGATGTACAAAAATAACTGAGAACAAGAGTACTATCCCAGATATGAACTAAGCTGGTCCTTCTAGCATCAGACTGAGACTTTCTTTAGGCATCTGTTGGGTGCCTAAGGCGACAGATGTTACCCAACTCCATTCTCACTAATACGCGAATTGCGTTCTAGTTGAAGAATAAACAGATCAATCATCAACTACAACACAGTAAAATAATCTAGTAGGGAAAAAAATAAAAATAATTCACAAGTTTTACAAAAAAGAAGTTTCAAAAAAAAAAAGCATCAAATGATTCAATCTTTTAAAATTATTTTGCATATATCAAATTGTTTATTAAGAAACAAATATATAGCTAGCGATACCTATAATTATCTGATCCTTCTTGATACTTGATACACAATAAAACAATTCAAATCTAAGTTTTACTATGTTTCGGTCCAAGTCACCTTCACTCGCCTAAAAAAGTGCAGTAGCACTCGTGCTTAACAGATCCATTACCTTTACCATCCCGGACCTACCCAAACAAATAACGTCCCCTCCCTTCCGCCCGCTCCCTCCCTCTATCCTCCATTTTCTCAGAAACCAAATGAATATTAATAATGCAAATTCGACGGAATCAGACAGCGACAGAGTATACTGATTATGCCAGTCAACGCATATAGGAGCATTTCAAGCAAATAAGTTTCCAGCACTAAAAAACCAGAAACAATCCCATTAGCAGATTCAACAAAGCTGATCAAAACGCACCCAGCCTCAAGAAATGTCAGGGATGCGCAAAACAAACGAAAGCACACACGCGAGCAAGAAAGGGGGAAAGCGCACCGTCTTCATCAGGAACTTGAACGTGGAGGAAGAGAAGTTTGAAACCAGTAGTGTTGGAGCGAATGATCTTGTTGATAGTCCACTCGAAAGCTCCCCTGCTGCTAATGGAAGGGTTTGGATAGCCCTTGATGGTCGACTCATTCACTCCCATCAAGATCCGGGTCGGCACACCCTCTGCCATTATTTTAGTTCACTGAGTTCGCGCGCTTCCGATTTTGATGCACTCTGTTCCCTTCCTTTCCGGTTCCCACCTTCCGCTTGGACAGGCGAAGTTTCTTCAACTTTCTAGTGCATTTCGCATCCGGGGTCCGATATTTAGTTTTCGGGATGAAAACGACGTTAAATGACGTGGCATCGTTATCGTTTTGTTTGTGAAATGAAGCGAGGATGGGATCCATCCGTCTCTGTCCTCATTGCAATACCAAGTTTGCCATTCAGAATTAGGGAGTAAAACGACGGTACGCAGATCAGGGAAAAGGAAAGCGACAATAACGTTTAGCGGCACTTTTGGTCGCATGCCAAGCCAAACCATTGGCGTACCATACAAGGCATAAAAATATGTGTCTCCTGTATTTTCTCCTTTTTCTAAATAATTAGTTTCATGAATTATTTTTTCTAAGAACATGCAACAAATATGATGAATTAATAAAAAGCAATGGAGGCGGGGCGCTATTTATTATTGCTTCAATAATGGCTTGACCACTCAATTGAAGACTTTACTTGCATGATTAATATTGAGAGATGACACGTTGCAAACTCAAGGGAATACTTACTTATATAAAAAATTACATAAATGTGTAAATTCAGCTAATCATATTTAATATAGCCCCCTTTTTATGCACTTGACTTCCTTTCTGGTTAACTTACTCATAATTGATAAAATTAAGTCACATTTTTTAAAGAAAACAAAAAGAGGAGATTATTTACCCATGCTTGTTAGTGTGGCGATAGACGACATTTCGGGGCAGTACAAGAGGCAACTCACTGTGTCACTGCTCATTGAGATTTCAATCTCAGTTATCATCAAAGGGGAATGACTTTGGTATTTAAAAACAGAAAATTATCCACATCAATAAGTGGATAATGGGCTGAAAATGTGTAGAGCCCAAGCCCATCAAGTAGATTTGGGCCAGGGAGAATAAAATGAGGGAGGGCCCAGTAAGATGACGTGGCGTGTTGGATCAGTTTGACAGGATCCCTGCTTGACTCCACAATCACACGTGGGTCATCCGATTTTCCTTTCTCGCCCCTACGCTTACACCCTACAACCATAGCCTCTTCCAAATCCGGGTCCAATCCCCCACCCTTGTCTCTCTCTCTCTCTCTCTCTCTCTCTCTCTCTCTCTCTCTGCCTTCCCATGTCTTTTCTTCTTCGTTTTCACGCCCCTGCTGCTACCGACCCCCTTTTCTTTCTGTCTCATCATGCACGTACCTTCTCCACTAATGCATGTGCTCATGTTTTCGGCTGGCCCGCTCCTTCATATCCAAGTTTTGTTTAACTTGTAACCTCAACTCTATACTAACTTCATTTTAAGGAACTCAAAATATGCTTAGGAGAGAACAAATTGCACCTGCATTTTGACGCTGATCTCTCTCTATTATTCACACAGTGACATTCGAATGGGATCTTATTCTGGCATTCTGGCACCCGAGATTTGTATGTGCACACGTTTCTCTCTGCTGAAGGACGGCACTTTTGAATTCCCGATCAATTTCCAAACGATTGGCGGGGAGACACAGATTATTGAAGACGATATTGTTTTGCTCGGGGAATGGGAGGATTACATGCACCCGCAATATAGTGAATTAGGAATACTCTTTTTTTCTCGTTGTTATTTTCAATTTCGATGGTTCTGGGTTAAAACCCGGACTATGGAAACGGCAGCACAGGTGAATTCAATTCGAATTCCTGTGGAAGAAACCAAAATGCCCTATCTCATACATTTCTTTCCAAACCTTCTCGGCTTCAAAAGCCACTTCCCCAGAAACGATTTCCAGCATGCCCTCCTCCCCCCACCCCCTTCTCGTGTTCGCTTCCCTGTGGTTCCTCTCCAACACGACGTCGTCTTCTATCCTCTTCGTCTTCTTCTTCTTCCCCAGCCCTAAGCACCTCCTCCCCACCATCCACGGAGCTTTGACGAACGCCAGAGCGAAGCAGTGGAGCACCGCGCAGGGGCAGCAACAGAGCGCCACGCAGTCGGCTATCATCCCGGCGGTGCATGACCGGCAATACTTGCCGGAGCACTCTATCAGATCTCCACTATCGTCGACGGCGAACCTGCACTTGCTCCTCCTGGGGGTAGGCCCAGCCGGAGAGGGCTCCTGTGACGGTTTCCTAGGCGATGATCGAGGACGCTGATCTTCCATGTGCTTTCCGCGAACAGTTTCGTTTGAATTCAGAGACCTGCCCCAAAATCAAAAATTAGATCAGCAACTTCAACTCAACAGTCAGACTCTGACACAGACTCTCCCACTTTTACGTATTGCAAAATGCAAGTGATAAGATCTGAGTTTTCCATGCATTTTAATCCTGGTAAAATCATGTAACAGCGCTACGACACTTTAATTCAGAGACGAGGGGAAAAAAGAGGCAGAGTCGTGTTCTTGAGAGGGAGTGTTACACTCACGCGCTTTACTCCACCTCAATGGCCAGCAGGAAAATATGAGAGAGATTGGTTAGTGCTCTTCTTATTTGGTTTAACCATTGAGGGGATTGGCACCTTACATTTACAGCATGGTAGTTCCCTTGACTTGACTAGCTGTTTGACCATTTATAAGCCTGTCTACTGTAGGCGTCGGATTTCTTTACCAAATCATTTGGAATTACGAGGGACGGAATAAATGTTTTCACTACTGCTAAAGTAAATTCAGATGCAAAATTCCATGCTGGGGTAGAATACTTTAGATTGTACTGCATACGGTTTAAAATATAAGCTAAATTTTAGCTATTTATGTTTATCAAGAAACTAATTAAAATCAGTTCAAAATAATAAATATGTAAATCATGTATTTTATTTTTTAGATATGACTTTTATTAATGAAAAAAATAAGTAAAAAATACAATAAATAAATTAAAGAATAAAGAGAAAATGTGGGGATAAAATTAAAAAAAAAACTCATTAAATGCTTAGATAAAAATAAATGTTATCTTGTTTAAAAAACCAAACCTCTTATATGTTTGTCATCCTTATAACTAGAATTTAGTTATAATAATTTTTTGATCACGTATACATCACGTTTATAAAAATCAGTCTTAAACTCCGAAGGACTTCGAATTAAAAGTATGTGACTCTTACATGGCCATAAGCAACAATTTAAATATACACACGCAGAGGAGTGTTTTTGTTTTTTTTTTGGAGACAGTACAATAGAAATTAATCCTCTTCAGAATTCAGGTAAAGAATAAGATTATCCTAACTAAAATATGTACAGCTATTACTCATCGTCCGTCAAAGAACGCATTTAAGATTAGACACGCTTAACAACTAACATGTATCTCCTTTTTAACAAACATATGGCAGGTAAAAATTTCAACCAGAAAGTTAAACCTAATTAAAGACACCTAAAAATTTTATTTTCATTATCCGTAACTTATGATTATATAACCTGTGCTGTTGCCTGATTTGCCAAAAAACACACGACCAAAACTATCAATTACTACCCCTGTTTCTTAATATGAAAGCTAATTTGACTTTCAATTTGATCATAAATATAAGATCTTAATCTACTTTGTCTCTCATATTTATCTATTTTTTCAAGATAATCCTTATAACAGTTTTACATGTTAAATATTTTATCAAATGACACCTGATTATAAGGGTATTTTGAAAAAGACAATACCTATTTATTACAAATAACTAATCTAATTAATTTTCTTAATCTACTCGAATTAGCCAATTAGCTTTTATGTTAAAGATCAAAAGTAGTATAAAAAAATATTGATACTTTCAAGTAACCATAAATAAATATGTAACGTTGCTGACTTCATGACATCAATGCTAATACACTGTTTAACATGATTTTACAGTTGCATATATTTCACCCCGTTCACGTGATTAGTGGGTAAACCCATGACTGTGGAACTTGACCGAAAACCCCTCTGGTATTCATGTTGCACGTTCAAAGAAGGAAATGTAATTAACCGAAGTGACAGGGCCACAACGCCCCAGTACGGGGGCGGTCAGAAGGAAGTTATAAGAGCGGAACTGTAAATACGAAGTGGTAGCGAATAATTAGACGCGCGTGACCCCGGAGAGGTAACGTGTTATTGCCTCAAAACGAAAAAGAGGAGCCAGGAAATGGTTAGTGAGGTCGACGACACGCACAACGAATAAAGCCAAAGCTTTTATGAAAATGAAATTTCCTTCAATTGTGATTCGGCCGAACAGAATGGTCACTTGACGTCTTGTTCCTAAGTTAGTGCTCTGCCTCTGTACAGGGCTCTAGTTCACTCTCTCATGGCTATTTTTGTTCGTTCAGACCTTGCCATAATAGCTTTCACTATTCCCAACGCGAAATCCCCAGAAACCAGAGGAAAAGAAGAAGGGAATGGTTATTGTTATCGTGTTTAGGTGGAGATTAGCAAAAAGAAGAAAGGAAAATGAGTGATCCATCTCCAGATCGAAGGTTGTGAAATGGAAATGACTAGAGATGAGGGGAATCCTGCGGATTGCCAAAGCTCTTGAAACATCGCTCGCTAAATCACTGTCAAAATGCAATATTATATGATGGGAATCTGAAGGGGTGAGAGGGAGTTTCCCTATGAAACAACAAAAGAACGATTAGAAAATTGCAAGTTTATAATTTTGAGAGCGGTCTTTCCAAACACGACAAAACCTGTACTTGGCAAAACGATACTGGATTCACGTGGGATTATTTTATACCTGAGAAACAGAGACGACATAAACAGTGACTGCTGGTCCAAGATGATAAAAAAGGAAAGGAAAAAAAACTATTTCTCCGATTCTTAATATAAAACCTATTTAACTAATTTGATTAGATTAAAGAAACTATGTAAGTTAGTTAATTATAAGAAAATTGACACATTTTTCCTAAAACACCATAATCATCTTTTTTAATACCTCTTCTTCTTCTTCTTCTTCTATTTGACTATGATTGAGGGAGTATTCATAGGGGTAATTTAGAGAAAGTTGATAAATACAAGAAATGGGTCTTATATTTAGGACCAAAATCAATTCAAAAATTACTCATATATTAAGAACCGGAGGAGTAGTAATTAGCTCTGTCGCCAGAGCATCCAACTCAGACTAACACGTAGTTGTGTAAACTTCACATATTCTACATTAAAAATCTCAATCCTATATGATCTTCTTTGACCAAAGCAAATTCGAAGCCTGAACCAGTGCCTTTCCACGAATAAAAAATAGGACAACCAAGCAGCCCGATCACTTCTTCATAAGGCATCTTTGCATGTTAATATGGAAGAATCAAGAGAGCCATAGTTCAAAAATGTCCTTTGAATTCAGTAAAAGAGAAATTAAAGAAGTAATGAGCTCATTCTCCAAGACATGCACCAGGGGGGAAAAAGGCAAAAGGAAACAAGAAAAGAAGGAGCAAACGGATCTACTAAAGTTTCTAAATTACATGGTGTACTAGCACTGCCTGACTGTGGTTAAATTTCCCATCTCACAATATTTCCAAAAGGGCATTTAATTCTCAGCCATAGATGGCAGACTTTACCCCACCTTCTTTTAGTACCCAAGACATAGATGTAAGAAGAAAGAGCTGGCTGTGTTTCCCCAGAAGAACATGATTGAGTCTGAGAATAATGACATTGGCATTATGATGGCACTATGCGCACATCCTATAGCACTGTTTGCATGCAGTGGGATCTGCATCAACCACTAAAACCTACCCCCTTGTGGCCTACCTCCAGGACCTGCTTTCTTACAGTGCACTCTCACACATCGCATAACCCCTGTCCTATTCAAACCACGCCACATTATGTGTCCTGTCGCCGAAGAACAAGTTTGTAAAAGTGTTTGAGTTGCCAAAACATGTCTTGTACCTTCCCTTACTTAATTTAGCACCATCTATATCCATCATTTCTGCTAAATATTTTTATGCCGTGATTGTTTGCTTTGAGCTAGCATACAGAGAAGGCTGCATATCTTAACATCCTATTCGCCTACTGAACGATCAAATTGAAATGCTGATATAAATACTGGCTTATTTCTGCCGGTTTAGAATCATGAAACGGTATCAGCAGTTTTCTACACAAAATTGAAAGGGTGTAGATCCAAATCTCAGTGGGAGATTTGGAAGAATGAAATGCAGGGCATGCATCATTGACCGTAAAACTGCAGTATGAGAAGAAACACATCAGAAGACAGAAGAGTTGAAGCGAATTACCTCAGAGCAGGAAGAAGAGGTTGTGTAGTTGTAGGAATTCAGAGTAACTCTGTAGTGTTGGTTCTGGGAGTGATCGCCGCTTGATATTTGTGAGACTGCAAGCACAAACTCGATCTGATGAGAAACACCCATCTGAAATAACCTCGAGATGATTTTAGTATTACCCCCTCTGAGAAGAATCTCTTTCTGCGCCTTATAAAACTATTTTATGGTAATCCGTAAAGCTATATTAATAGTAAATTAATAGCCGGACCCTTCCCACCCGCCCAACCCTCTTTTTATTGTATTTAATCAAAGCTGAGAGAACGAGCATTTGTGTATAGAAAAACTGGGAGTGAGTGAGAGAGACGCGAAGATGTGCCCGTTGACGAGTCCCGATGAGGGGGAACATGGGAAATGTTGCTGTTCTCCATACCATAGCCCTTTCTCCACTGGCTCTGATCATAGTATTTGATTTCTCTTTCTTGCAACCTGAGCAATCAGGCACGTGAGGGGCAGCGTGCACGTGCACCCACCCTCGGGCTTTCATTTCTTTTAACAGGGTGCCCACAGGGGCCTGCCACTGCCACTGTACTGTTAAATCACTTTTAATCGTCTCTCTTACACCAAATGTTTTCGACTTTCGATCTTTTCGTCTGTTATATGTTAGATTTAAATGGATTCATGTGATCATTTACACGCATGCGCTTTGCTCTCCTGGTTGACAGATCAGAGAGAGTGGGTTCAGCATTTCGGTTCAGGGATCAGATAAGGGCACGCAACTTAGAATCAGAATAGGATAAGGGGGTGTGATTTGTTTTGTTCAAAAGAGAGATTCGGAAAGTTGGAAAGTGCAAGTTCGGTGGCTTTTTCATGACTAAAGTCGTGGGTTTAATTTATTGATTAAGCTTTCGGCAGCGGAAACAGGTTGATTGGCCGTTTTGTGGTAATCTTTGACTCAGATATTTACACGTTTTCGTTAAAAAAAATAAATAAATTTGGAAATTTTAATCAACTCTCAAGGAAACGACTCCATCTCCATCGCAGTTTCCATGCCCACGGCGTCACAAAGTTCAGGGTCTAAGGTGATAGATTTTGCGTCAAAAGTTTTAGGGGACCTTGATCTTGACAAAGCTAAGACCATTGCTTGTATATAGTCTGAATTAGGAAATTGTTTTTGTCTTCGAAATTTTTTACTTAGTACTTCCTTGCGTGCTTTTTTTTTTTGAATGATCCTTGCGTGCTTTTCATTCTCCTGGCCAAGTATTTAGCGCATTTTGAAAATCTTAATAAGTTATACTGAGTGTTTTGGAAACAAAGATTAAAACAATGATCCCTTCCAATCAGTTTAACTTAAATAAAGCTCCTCCAACATAATTTTTCTCCTTCGTCAGATTCAAATATGCGAAACTGCTTGGGTATGAAAAAGCAAAAAAAAAAAAAAAAGAATTAAGGTGTATTAAATTTGGAATGAGCTGGGTGCTTATCAAGAGTAATGAGCACCCCAAACATATCGGACTTAAATTATCCAGATATGATTTGAATATTTCAAATTTAATTTAATTTATTTTTTAAAAATAATTATTTTAATGAATATAGAATCTGAAATCAAATAATCTTTTAACTAACATTTTTTTTAAAAAAAAATATTAGGTGCTATATGAACAAGGGGCCCAATGAAGTCGTATCAGATTTGGGCCGGGCCCAATTAAACGAAGCGGATTGATTTTTCTCTAAACAGGCCCTGTACACAGGCACCGGGTTCGCACGAAAAAGCCCATCCCAAAGGGTTATAAATTACCATTGGGCGCCGCCAAAACCCTAACACCGATTCCCCTGTGAGCACCGTCTACGTAGCCATGGCGGGCGATCGCGTGCGAAACCCTAATGTGAGCAGCCTATTTAAAGATTCGATTTCTACGCTTTCTTTCATTCGCTCTCCTTATTCATCTCCTTTCTTCAAATAGCTGGTATCCTACTTCGATTGCCCCTGATCTACAGCAAATTCTGTATCGTTTTGTTTATTCTGAAGCGGGCGAAGATGAACATTGCTGAATTCTGACACCTCTTGTATGAGTTGAGTCTTTTGAAAATAAAGACTCTTCCTTGAGCACAGATAGCAACTCTCTGAGCCTTATTCATATCTGAACTAATGCCATTCTGATTCCCTGATCTATCTAATTTCTTTCTCCGGTAATAGGACTTCGCCTAATATTGCAATTCTTTGGTCATGTTCCTGGGCCAGGGAATCTATCGTTAGGCTAGATTGAAGTTTTTATGCACATATGCATGATTATGTATATGTTGTCTGCCTTAAGCTCCGAGTACCTTTTTTCCTTTCAATAGGGTTTTTCGGTGACAAGGTAGGCACATTGTTTTTTTTATTTTTTTGGTTGGTGAATAAGCTCTTTTAATGTGTTCGCCCTTAATCTGAATGTAATTTATCGCATTAGTTTTTCTAGGTTTTAAATATGACGTGTTCAAGGTTGATATAAGTCCGGTGATTTTCATTGATTTTGTTGGCACATAATTTTGCAACTAGGTTTAGGGCTTTTGCATTTTCCTTTTGGTATCGACATCTTATATGTGTTTTTTTGTCATTTTCCAATAATTTGAATTTAGTTTTTCATGTGCTTATATTGCTTATGGACATCATGTCATATGGTGTTGAATGATGAAAAAAATCAGACGGATTCCCACTGATATTGTTAATATATGATATCACAACCAGCTACTTCTGACAACATCATATGAGTATTCATTCGTATTGTTTTCAATGTTTGGATATGTGTTTGTTATTTTAGGGTTTTTTGGTTTGCTTATTTGTTTGGCCGATGATGTTAGAAAATATTTGCTACTCTTGATGGGCAGCACCCATCTGATGATTGTATTCCACCAAGATCTCTGAGGCCTTGTGTTTGCTTTGATCTCTTGTTTTAACTTATAGGAAACACTTACACTAAACGTGTACCTAAATTTGTTGTCTGGATGGGCAGTGTACAGATATTATCATCGTTTGTTGTCTTTTACGAACTAGCGAGTCTAAAGAAAATGCTTCTGCAGTCCCCTTTAGCTTGAAAGTCTTTCAAGATAATTTGTATCGAGGATCCGGTTTGGACCTCGCACAATTTCTGGATTGAATGGACCTTACGCATTTTATTACATTGGTTTATTGTACATTCCTTCTCATTTATGTGAAGATGATATCCTACCTCCGGTTCTAATTATCTAATTGAGAAAATTAATAAAAGAAATTAAGTTATTTGTCATAAATAATTGTGGTTTTTTTTAAATATTCTTGTTAATAAAATGTATTGATTAGAATTATTATTATTAGAAGATTATTTTAAAAAAATATATATAAATATTTGAGGTAAAATAGATTGGAATATTATATTTAAGATTAAAATAAAAATTAAATGAGGTTTTATATTAAGAATAGAGGATAATGGGTAACAAATACGGTTTTTGCATGACAAATATAGAAGAAATGGTTTCGATTACTTGTTACATCCATGGAGGTCTTTGTTATTCAGCATCGTGCGCCTATTCTCTTTCCATCCATTGAAATATTGTAAACCTGACGTAGAGAATTGTTAGACTGTTGCGATGATTCGGCCCTCGCTAATTTTAACGTGCCTGAAGGGGCCCAATATCATATCTTTTGAAAGTTAACCGTGGATTGCTAAGATGATTGCTTTTCCAATACAGAATAATAGCCATGTGAATTGGTTACTTTCTGAAAACGTCTTTTGGCCTTGGAAATTATCCATGTTGAGGGTTTTCTATTTGGTTGGATCTGTTATGATCAATTCTGCCGAAGAAGACGATGGGATCAATAGCAAAATTAAACGACTATTATAAATGAATTAAATTATACAGCTGGGGAACATTACAAGCTTGGCTCGTCTAACAGGACTATAAGAAGGAAGGTGTCACGGAGAAGACACGGCTGAGAGGGTTTAAGGAGTGCATCTAAATCTGGCTGGAACAAGTGAGTGGCCTGGACATGAGCCTGCAGAGTTTATGATTGGACAGAGTAATTCTGAGGGAGTCGGGGTTTGTGTGTGCTCCGCAGATCTTGTCGATGGGAAGGCCAGTCTGGTTGGCTAGCTTCTCTGCGTCGCAGGGGCTGCCAATCACTTTATCAAAGCAAATGTACCTGCCGGAAGCGGTGCCGTCCATGGCCTTATAAACACATACATGAGCTTCGGCTACTTTGACTACGTCCGCGGTAGCCAGCAATCCATTGGCATACATGGCTGGGGACCCTGCGCAATTTAGATATTTTGAAGAATTAGCTTTTAGTGTCTGCGAAATTTGAACAACAGGTATGGCGGCATGGTGAGTGGAGGCACCTTTGAGATAAGCAATGGTTGCGGTCGGGTTTCTGCGGCAAAATTCGGGGCCGGTGATGAGAGCGGGACAGATGGTGGTGAGCTTCAAGCCCCTTTCTTGAGCGATTTTCCAGGCCCTCTTCTCTGCCCTCGTCTTGCCCAGCGCATACCACAACTGCCACCTCATTTAAAAGACGCGGGCATTAGTTATATAATTAGCGAGGAAGAGGATGTTGTGATCATAACAAGGGAGTGAAGTAATTCACCTTGTTGTGGATGCAGATGGACTCGGAGCTCCAGGAGGCGTGGTTAATGACGGGCTGGGCACTGTCTTGCCATAAACATGCGGCTAGTGAAGATGTGAAGACGCATTTGTTGACGCTAGGTGTTGTGGCGCACGCTTCCATCACATTCTGAGTCGCCCTTACTTCTATCTCTGCCATCGATTTCTGCACCCACCCAGCTCATCAGGATGGTACAATGTATGTTGACGATGATCATGAATTTGACCAAAGGCAACATTTGAGAGTAATGGTACAAGACGGAATATGGAATGGGTGGCATAATAATAATAATGAAAAAGAGGGAGGGAGGGGGAGAGAATTACAGTGTAGCCAGAGAGGCCAGCAGGGTCGGTAAATGCAGAGGTGTGGAAGACGCCACGACAGCCCTCAAAAGCAATGCGCAGGCTCTGAATATCTGTGAGGCTGGCCATCACCACTTGCAACTTGTCTCCTCTTGTATTCTCCATCTCCCTCAGTTTCTCCATGTCATCTGCATCCACCAGCCACTCACAATTACTCATTCTGTCTTTATCCCTACTGCTTTATATACCTTTGTTCCCCCTCTTTTTATATGGGAGGTAGTACGCAAGTCTTTTCACGATGGTGACTTTGTTTAATACGGCCGACGCACTTGATTGTGATTACAACAACATTAACTACGCCAAATGAACAAGTATCGCATATTTATTTCCGACACGTAGACTCTTTCCTCCCCATTCAAATTTGTACACCCCCTTGTTTGAAGCATTCAATTCAACCTTGTTCCCTCTAATATAGTTGATGCTGGCCTCTTTCTATTTTTCCCTTTGACTGACGGACGACCCCTAACCACTGTGCTTGCTCCACTAACGGCACATGACTCTCCAAAAGTTCTTTTCTGTAACTAATCAAGCCCAACACACCGGCAAAAAAGTGTTTCCCAATTTTCTCTTAACTCCTTGCTCTCTGATTCCAACTCTCTTTTCGTTCTTATTCTTTTTATAATAAAAAATAAGCTAAAAATTAAAAGGCTTTAATCCCGTACCAACCCACCGTTCATATTTTCCAGCGTTGCCGTGTGGATACTTCCGATCGCGGAGTTTGTTGCAGCCGCCCAACCCAGGAAGCATTATTTGGAACTTTCAACTAAAACCGGTAGTAAACCCACATGTTTCGGCACTAAAACATTAATGTCCACGCTGACACCTCCTCTCCATATTTTCTTAATCAAATTCACGAATAATTTTAAGGCAACTTGTAACTTTACTTCTTTTTTTGTTTCTTGATTTTCTTCAGAAAGTGGGACGGCTGGATGAACCAGCTGAAAGAGATTGGGAAACTAGAAATGCTGGGAATAAAAAAAAAAAAAAAAGGCCATTAATTTTGATCAAGAACTGAGTGTTGACATTTATGGATCCTTTTTCTTTTTGCCATAACTGCCCAGACCCAGTCACATTCATTTGGCCTTAGTGATTTTGAGTTCTCTGGTTTCAACCATATTTGACATCAACGAAAGAAAACCTAACCTAACCACCAAACTTCCATATTATATTCTGTTGTTCGTCATTTTCAACTTCAAAACTCCCAGTTAAAATCTCTTTTAGATTCGAATTTTGCTTGCTCAATATCGTCAAACCGCCGGTCAGTCTCAGTTACACCGCACCCCCAAAGAAGAAAAAACTCGAGCAAAAAAATGATGAAGAGAGTGATTTCGACATTAAGAATTTAAGACGCTGGAAATTTATGAGCGGGAATCTGATTAATATTGGGAGGGAATTGAATCGAAGGAAAAGAAGAATAAATGAATTACCTGAGTTGTGGACAGTGATCCGAACAGAGTATCCCTGAAGCAAGAGTTGGTTGGCTAAAGCCATACCCAGATAGGAAACGCCGCTGGTGACACACACCATGGTTCCTTCATCTCCATCATGGACGTCCGAAGGGAGAGGGCTTTTGGGCAATCCCTCATCGTCCTTCCTCCGGTGTATGGCGGCGCAGGCCACCACGGTGCGGCGGAACTCCTCCACCTCGGCCGCCCAGCTCTCCACCGTCGGTAAGAGACCCATTCCCAAGCGATTGCTGATCAATGATCAAAGGCGAGATCAGAATCCGGAGGAGGGAATCGAATACGGGCCGGGGGAAGATGAAGAAGACGAGTGGGAGGTGGAGATCGGTATAGTATTGCAGGCGCAGTTTCGGAAGTTGCCTCAGTGTTTTATAGACGGCCTCGCTCCAATGCGCCCAGTCAGCATTTGATGGTCAAAGTCCTGATTTGCGGGTTTACTCGCAGAATTTTTTTGCCAACTTTATAAAATATTTTTTGGCCAACTTTATAAAATATTTTTTTGGTTCTTTTTTTTTTACCAGCAATATTTTTTTTTAGTTCTATAATGCTGAGACAGTCTCAAATAATATTTTTATAATAATGTTGACATTTTTATAAATGTAATAATATTATTTAAGATTAAATAACTGAAAAATATTTTATAAAATTAAGAAATCAAAATCAAAATTTGCAAAATTAAATGTAGAAAAGGCATTGGGAAGGGGACCTGAAATAGAGTGGAGAGATCAGTAGCACTTGGAATTATTAAATGCGGCATCATAGAAACAGATCCTACCCAGTTTACTTATTCCTTTGAAATGTTAATGATTTGTCACTTATTATAAGATTTTTTTAATTAAATTGTACGGTTTAAAAAAAAAGTTCAAATTAGTTAAAAATAATTAATGGGTAACAAATACAGTTTTTTTCAAATATACCTTTATATATAAATAAATAAATATGATAGAGTAATAGTGAGATAAATAAAAAATATATTAAATATATTAAATTATGGATAAAATAGGTAATACTGTATTAAATGTTCAGACAAATTCAGAAAACATCTTATAAAAAGAAATAAATTTATTTAAAAAGTTAAATCTTATAATAAGAGACAGATGGACTGATGAAATATATAATACTGCTAATTTTAATTTGTTAAGCTTTAGGGGGAAGGTAAAGTGAAATGGGTAATTATGAGGCAAGCGTACGAATTTCAGTGTATCTCTCGATTACAATGTTGCTGGCAAGGCTTGTACTCTTCGGGGGTGATCACGATGGCATATGATGAATTAAAAAATAAATAAAACCCGTAGTAGTTGGTCATTCACCTCGTCCTTTTTCCTTTTCTTTTTTTTCTTTTGTTATTTTTTTTTGCTAGCTCTGTGACGTTTTCCAGATTTTTTTTTTCGTTTGCTTATTTAGTTATTTATCTGGCCTTGTGCGCTCTGTCTCCTGTTTTAAACTTTTATCTTGTCCCTCCTCTGCATTGTCAATATGGATTTCTGTTGATAAAAAACAAATAAATAGACAATTATAAAATCACGTTCATGGTAGAATCTATTATGAAATACAATTATATTTGCAATACTGATAGTATGTGGATGTATACCTAACACAATTTAAAGGAGAATTAAAATCACGTGCACTTCCCTGTGGAAAATACATTATTAAATTATAGAGTAACATAATTGAGTAGAAATTATATACTACCCCTGACCTTTAATATAAGAGCTAGATAACTAATCTAGAGATATCAAGTAAATTAGTTAATTTAATTATTTATATTAAATGTGTACTGTTTTGTCTAAATTATTCTCTTCAATCACATACTAGCACTTGTGTCTTGTATAAATGTATGTATCATGCTGCTATTAAGTTACTTATTGTGATTTTTTTAACATAATATATATAAATTGTACTTGCATATGTCGTGAGAGAAATGTCAAGATGACAAAAAAAAAATCCTCTAAAATCTCATTGGTGAAACGAGATTGGTCGGTTTGCAATGCCATGAATGGATTTTCAGGGGATTAAGTATGGAAATTGACTGGCGTTGCCTAATAGCTACTGATAAAGATTCTTCGTCATACATATTTACGTGGGCAGGAGTTTGACTTTTTGGTTACCTTATTACCGATCATAATTATAAGAGTCAGTTGACTAATTTGAGAAAATTAAGAAAGTAAGTTGAGTTAGTTATTTGTCATAAATATGTGTTATCTTTCCTAAAATATCTTTACTAATCAAGTGTATTAACTAGAACTATCATTGTTAGAATGGTTACTTTGGGGGAAAAAAATATAAATATAAAAGATAGAGTAGATTGGGGTCTTATATTTAGGATCAAAATAAAAGTCAAACTGAGTCTTATATTAAGGACCGGAAGTAGGAGCTCTTATGTAAAAGTAAATGTCGTAAGTCGCATAAATATAAAACTGCAGCGTTTCATCATCATGAAAAATTAAAATATCTCACGCGGAAAAGAAGAGAATGATCGAATATTTGGCGGCCGTTGGGGATTCACAGGCACATGTATGTGGTCAATTCAGCAGCTAGTTTTAAGGCCAGGCATAAAGATAGAGATTCATGCATTTGTGTGAAATGTTCTTTATTTTTTTCTTCTTAGCTAGACAGATTTTAGAGAGAGCGCGGCATGCTTAAATCAAACTCGTGGTCGCGTAAATAACATCAAAAACCACTGATTTACTAATACTTCATTGGATATTTAATGTTTTCTCAATCTTAAATATAAAACCTATTCAAAGCTAAATAATTAGTACTTCCGATTATAATTATAAGATCTCGTTTGTATTATCTCCGATCCTAATTATAAGAGCCATTTGACTAATTTAAGGAAATTAAAAAAAGTAAGTTGAGTTAGTTATTTGTCATAAACAGATGTTGTCTTTCCTAAAATATCTTTGCTAATCAATTGTATTGACTAGAACTATCATTATTAGAAGGGTTATTTTGAAAAAAATATATAAATATGAGAGACAAAGTGGATTGGGGTCTTATATTTAGAATCAAAATAAAAGTCAAACAAGATCTTATATTAAGAACCGGAAGTAGTAGTCTACAAACAAGATTCTATGATTATGACAGAAGGTATTGATTTATAAATATTATGAAAAAAAAAAACATTAGACATTGCACAACATAGTCCACTCATACAAGTTTGTCTTTGATTTGTCCTTGCTGCTGCTGTCTGATCCCTAACTCTAACTACAAGGTGCGCATATTTACACGTATATATGTAGATAGGAAAACCATGAGAGAATAAATACATAACAAATGATAAAGAATGTATAAAGAGCGGGATGGGTTGAGTGGGGAGGAAATTCGGGAGAGGAAGGCCAGCTGGTTTCAACGCTCATGGACTAATTGTGAAGAAATGGCACCTATATATTGGCCCTTTCCGTAACGACTTCCAATTATTATTGTTATTGTCATCACATGAACAAACCTCACATGCATGCTTCCCTCTTTGCTTTGGCTTTCACCTGCCCCTTCTTCTCAATAATGTATTTATTACAAAAACATTCCTGATGATGGAAAATTTACCTGTTAGTTTGAATCGCTGAGGATGTGTGTGGAAAGGTTAAGGTATCTCATCAACGTAACATCAATCCATCGCATCGGTATGGATAATTTAATTTAAAATATTAAATCTGGTTTTTAATACAATAACTAATTAACTAATTTAAACCGATTAAGAAAGTTTGTTAAGTTAGTCATTTATAATAAACATATATTATCTTTTTTATAATATCCTTAGTAATCATGTATATTAGCTATAACTATCATTTAATAGAATCTTTAACACGTGTAATTACTACAATGACTGTTTTTTTTGTGATACTACAATGACTGTTTTAAAAAATAAAAAGTAAATATAAGAAAAAGAGTGAATTGAAGTTTTATATTTAGGATCAAATTAAATATCAAACTTATTTTTATACTCCTCTGGTCCTTATTATAAGACCCCATTTGACTTTTTATTTGGTCCTAATTATAAGACCCTAATCCATTTTGTCTCTTATATTTATGCATTTTTTTCCAAGATAATCCTTCTAATAACGATAGTTTTAACCAATATATTTAATTAGCAAGGATATTTTAGGAATGACAACACTTATTTATTATAAATAACCAACTTAACTTACTTCATTAATCTCCTCAAATAAGTCAATTGGGTCTTATAATTAGGACCGGAAGAGTATTAAGGACTAAGGGTGTGTTTGGTATGAGGGATTTGGGAGGAAGGGAGGGGAGGGAAGGGGAGGGATTTTAATCATTTTTCCTTGTTTGGCAACACACAAATCTTATGAGGGGAGGGAAAAATTTTTAAAATTTCCCCTCCCCTCCCCTCCCCTTCCCAACCTCCCCTCCAAAATTGGGAGGATTTAGAAGGAAAAGGCAATATTTTGTCATATTATGACTATTATGCCCATATTTTGTCATGTTGTGACCATTATACCCACGCCTTAAATAAAATAAAAGCAAAATTGTTCATATTAAAATATTTTCCTCTCCCCTCCTCTCTTTTTTTATAAATCTAAATAAGATAATATTAAAATCCCTCCCCTCCCCTCCTCTCCATTAAAATCTCTCTCCCCCCTTTTTTTCATTGAGCCAAACATACCCTAAGAGTATTGTCTTATAATAAACTATGGATGGGGTTATGTAAACAGACATAAAATGGAAGATTAGAAAAACGGGGATGAGGCGATGATAAAATAGAGCGAGAGTTGGGGGGGGGGGGATAGATCAGAAAAGAAGCGGTCTACTGAAAACGGGGTAAGTGAAGGGCAGGATGGTCACGTGCACACCAACCCGAGTGAGGGTTGCGTAGCACGTGTTTGTTAGCTAGACAGCGGACGCCCACGTTCCCTTTACGCTCACCTCACTTTTTAACTTTACACCAAAAATAAATGTTTGCATAGCATCACTACAAATAAATATGTATTCTGCCAAACAAAAGTTCTTGTTATATGTTTGTTTCCTACAACACAAAATCATTTAAAATGAATTAAACCAAACACCCCGCAAAATTTTTTTGTAAAAACAGGTTTATTATTTTTATATCATATCTTGTGTTTGATGACCTGATCTCTAATTAAGTGATTAGTCACCCTTTTTTCTCCCCACCGATTCAAAAAGGTTATGACAAAGCCAACTTCCATTTCACGCCAAGAATTCTTTTTGAGGTTTGTTAACAGTAAATGTGAATGCGGAATTTAGTTTATTTCCACAACCATTAATATTGGAAGACTGGAATTCAACTCATTTGTCATGATAGCTCTTATCATATTTCCCGACATTTTTAAATCATTTTTTTAATTTCTTAT